CCCCTGACCTTGTCCCTTCCGATTGTTATACGTTTTTATTTGGAATGATTTAATAAGGGATCAAATGGAAGAAGTCAAAAACTGCCCAACGAGTTTCTTTGAAGAGAGATCGCACAGTTGCTAAAGCGAAGGCATGCCAAAGGCTTGTATTCGCAGCAAATGATGGAGAGCACACTTCTGAGAAATGAACCTTTTTTTCAGGAAATAACTGCATTTAACTTGATTTTAAGTCGGGTTCAAAGGTATACAATCATAGAAGTCATCTGATTCGGCCTCTGGTACAAAGACTGTGACAGCGTCCTTTTCGTCTCTCCAAAGTGATTTAGTGTGTTGATTTCAGTGCAAAATGTGCACATGCGGAGAAAAATTGTATTTTTTAAAAAAAGGGGCTTCGTTTGCCTAAAGTCCAAACAGTCCTCACTGCACGCTTACTGTAGCAAGTCATGCCCACGGTCTAAAAAGGCCACTTTGGCTTTCATGAACGTCTCAGATCCTATCGGATGCTCAATTTGGACGATAATTAAGACGTATATGAGATGGCTAGTCACTGAGTTGATGATAATAAACACTTCGACTCGTTGAGCAGGTGGAAGTGAAAGCGTAACGTGTCTTGCAGGCTTTCGGCGCAACCGAAGCCATGTCGGACCGAATCTGCATTCACTCAAAGGGAAAGGAGATGGTCAAATTGTCCGCGGATGACCTACTTTCGTGTTGCGGACTATTCTGCGGCTTTGGTTGTAGTGGTGGTTTTCCTGAGAGTGCTTGGAAGTACTGGGCAGCAAGGGGTATTGTTTCTGGCGGTGTTTATGGCTCAAACGAGGGTTGTCGTCCATATGAAATCCCTCCTTGTGAACACCACACCCATGGAGACCGGCCAGATTGCCAAGGCAACTCAAAAACACCAAAGTGTCAAAGAAAATGCGATGTAGGTTACAAAATGGACTACCAGGAGGACAAGCATTTTGGTGAGTTAAATACGTTTGTTCAGAATGACCTTTCTTTTCCTTACAAATCCGTGATTACGCTTGATCTCACTGACTTTGGGTTAGCTGGTAGGACCCTGAGAAATGACACGTCAACGTTTATGATTGTGAATAAATTTGCATATTAGCATTGAGGCGCACGGAAAACGAGATGTAGCACCCGCAGTTTAGGATGACTGTGAAATATCGGCGAATCTCGCACATGATGGCCACTCAAACCGTACGCAACTGCACTTTTTAGATGCACAGACCCTCTACAGATATTCATTGGGCAATTTTGACATTTAAGAGCCATTTTGTTCTTGGTTGATTTTAGTTCCTAGCGCTTTTTTCGTCAGGATAGTAAGTTATTTGGTAATCTAATCTGATAGCGTGATGACGCCGCCTTGATAAGTAGAAATGAAATTTGGAAGACGCCACTAAGTCTTTAACTAAAGATGTGATAATGAAGGGAAAACGTAGTTCATGGATCGCCTATTGTCGTGCCATGTAAACAATAATTGGATGGGTTACACGCCTGGCAAAAACGATAAACAGCCAGAAGTGTTGTTTAACGTAAGCGTGGTATCTTAAAACACGAAATGTCAATTAACCTGAAGTGAATACACAAAGTAAGTTCTGAGCCCAGACTCATGGCTGCGACAGCTCTCGACACACTGTTCACCGCGTGAACGAACTCCCAATTGTGCTAGAACGAGAAGACGAAGAGCAAACACCAAGGGGTTAGACGGAAATGACAGAAACAAAAGTACTAATTGCACAATTCCAGTTGAAGATTTTACCTTTATTAACTTGTCCGATATACTCAGCCTGATTCATTGTACGAAATCACCTTCCTAGTTGTCAGAACTATGCCACTGTGTCTTTCCGCTCGTACTCCACTCCACTCCACTCGTACTCCACTCTTTCCACTCGTACTCGTACTCCAATTATTAACTTGTCCGATATATTTAGCCTGATTCATTGTACGAAGTCACCTTCCTGGTTGTTAAAACCATGCCGCACATTTCCTAATAGCAAGCTGAAACCCAAAAAAAAAACAAATCTTAAAACCATTTCATTAACCCAGCCCAGTCAAATATATCAGGCATAATCAGGCCAAGAAAAAAAATGTCAAAATTACAGGCCTCCGCATTTGGATTGCAGATTTCACTTCTTGCATTTCAAAGTAGAATTTTTTAACTATATCCAATCACAAACTTTCCGTCACTTCTGTGCACACACTTTGGAATATCTACATGCACCAACTGACGCCCAGAAAAGTCCATTTTAGTATCTTGAGCACCTAACGAACGCCACGGGGTCTTTCCACTCGTACTCCAATGAATCTGCTGCATCCATAAGCTGATTTGGCCACCAATTGCGACTTATGGCAGCATTTCTCAAATGAACCATGTCAACAACTGCTACCTTCTTAATTTCTCCATGTACCTGTTTGTTTTAGCCGAAAGTGTCTACAACGTTCGAGCTAGTGAAGTGGACATAATGATGGAGATAATGACTGGTGGTCCTGTTGAGGCAGACTTCAACGTGTTTGCAGATTTCCTCACGTACAAGTCGGGTGTCTACCAACACGTCCGAGGACAGTTTCTGGGAGGCCACGCGGTTAAGATGCTGGGCTGGGGTGAAGAGAACGGAGTACCATACTGGTTGTGTGCCAACTCCTGGAACACCGACTGGGGTGATGGTGGGTTCTTCAAGATTCTCCGGGGAAAAAACCACTGCAAAATCGAGGCCGAAGTGAATGCCGGCATTCCCAAACTGCACAACTGATTTTCCAGTTGCACGTGATTGCTGATAAAACATGCATTCGCCAATTTCTGACGTACCCACGGGAATCGCTTCTGTGTAATTTTGATAACCAGACTGCTGTATAGAATGCCGTGGAACTAGAACCATGACATCGCCTAACACTCCGGTTTCATTGAATGGTTTGGATAAAACTCAACCATCAACACTTGGTGGAAAGCAGAGTGGATTAAATGGATTCGAAGGTGGTTGTGGTACGGAAATGGGGGTTTGTAAATAGCATCCAGTGTCGAAGAAGTTTTTGGTTTTGTGGTGAATCGTGTGATGACAAGTGTGATGACACGGCCCTGAGTCTGTGTTCACCCCCGATGAATTCCAATGTTTATCTTGGGCTGTCGCTGCATGTGTAAACAACCTCGACGGCTCCCCCGTGTTCATCAGTTGACGTCACTTGACCCACTCTGGTCACGCTGACAACCCAACAGTACGCGTGAACAGCCGCGGCCTGAAAAACCGTTGAGTTCCCGCTATATTCTGCCCTCTCACCCTGCTTTGGATATGTGGTTGTGGATGAAGCCGCGCCAGTCATACTAAATAAGCTGCTTTGGTGTAGTTGTGCGATTCACATCTGCGCATTCAACAGGTCCTATCGGTGGGAGAATGAGTAGAACGTGGATTTAACTGCATGGAGGAAGAACAATTAAATGTCCACGACTTCGGATTTTGCATAGCTGTTGGCTGAAAAGCAGACATTGACGAATATGTGGAGTTCACAATTCAGGAACTGCATTTCTTGTGTATCAAATTTCTGCAGATTATGAATTAGCCGATGAAGTGAGATCGATGAGACGAGTGACGTACTCGCAATATTAACGATCCCTCTTTTTACTGGGAGCCATGAAGCCAAGACTCATGGCAGTAAGATTTAACTTTAAACTCCACTTAGAAAAAATAATTAAGTAGGCGGTTCCATTGTTAGACAATATTGGCAAGAGTATGCAATGAATTGCGTAGATTAAGGTCCGTTAACCTGGTCGTCACAGTCTCAGACACACTGTCCCCCTTGTCACGGCGTGCCCGTCAGCCATGCCAGAGCGTCTGCTCAGTCACCCCTGTGCATCTACCGACACTACCCGCTTCATCCATCTGACCATTCAGACGGTTGTGTTTTTCACTAGTTCACCCAACCTGCACGAATCGACAGAACACTAGAGCCATGAACTACCAGCATTGCGCGCACATGGCACAGCACAGCTTGGTTGAGCCATCGAATAAGCGGTTCTTTCTCTCATCTAGCTTTTTCCTTGTGTTGTTGTGTTGCATTGTTTCGCAACAAGCATTTAAGAATGAAGATATTTGATACTTGTGGTGCCTCGAAACCCCAAATTCACAAATTGGCAGGCGTGACGCAAATAAAAATGAAGCACTCAACACGCAACCTCCGTTTCTGAATTTTGCTCAAGATGACATTTTGGGTGTGTGTGACTCAAGTACACAGATAGATATTGTCTACAGTTGAAAGGAGGCAAGAATGTGTGTTGATTGCCAATGAAATTGAATGACGCAACTCAACTTGGCACGGCACTAAGTTGCACATTTGTTTTTTGCATAAGCACAAATTAAACTGACTACAAAGCAAACTTGGCAAGTACCTCGATAAAGTGGTGATGCTATAGAATTTTGAACTGGATGTGAAGCATATCGGGCAGATTCGGTGACGCGCAAAGTAGCGCAGTTTGTCCACGCTAAATGTCAAACAGAAGTCAAAAGTCATGATCCCGCTTACTTTTGACAAATGCAAATCACAACTTGGTGATTGACATGAATTTACTTTTCTTACCTAGTGGAGTCCATTTATGTCGTCGAATTGGTCAAATAAGTCAATAGTCACACAATGCGTGGGTTCGAAAACTCAGTAATTGATCGCATTCGGCTTACACCAACCCCATGTCTTCGGGTTGTCGTTGATGGTTCGAATTGATTTAGTCGTCCATGCGGCTTGACAGTCAAGTGGTTGTGTCTAGATTATTGTGGCATTGGAATGCACCTCCACAGAAATAATCCTTAAATGTCCAGCCTCCTGAAAATACCAGGCTTGTGCTTCGATCTGATTACTGACACCGACCAAAGCTGTTTTACACCTGGTTTTACTACCAGGCGTATGCAACTTAGGCATTGAATGTGATGACTGAAATGAACTTGGTTAGTGGTTGATTGTACCCAGAATTGCCTCCAGCACTTCACATTGTCGACAAATCAGTGCCTGTATTTAGACCAGCCTGAGGGAGCCAGAATGACAAAATACACCACAACGGAAAAGCCACAATGAGAACACTGCGAATGTCTTTGCTTGATTAGGCAAAGAACAATGCTAAAACGCTTCTGGTGAAAATGAAAACGTGCTGAAAAGCATTACGTTTGTCTAGGTGTGTACACTGTTTGCTTTAGTCACATTCCTGAACTAAAATCACACAACTATTCTTCCTTCCCTATGTGTCGTTGAAAGATTTAAATATACTGGAGCCAACTCAAGAAACTGAAGTTTGCATTTCAGATTAAAATGTTGGGATAGGATTCGCCTGTTGACAAACAGTGGACACTGTACCTGCAGTGCAGTCACGAATTTGGATTTTACTGAGCTGCTAGTACACGCACAATCATGCGACGGATCAGCTAGTAATGGGATAATCTGTATTTCACATAGTGGGCCGTTGCATAAGTCACCACTTCAGAGACCACGTATGATTATGTATGCTGTCTATTCAGCGTTTCTAATTTGTCCTGCAAGTTGCATATTTTTGGCTTGCTTTTGACGTACTGCAATCCATACATAAGAAACACCGCGCACAAAATAAACCAAACAATCCATATCCAGTTTTTCGAGTACAAATACCAACCCACTTCTTGATTTCACGTTGAATTTGATTTTATTTGTCATGCATAAAGAACATGAAGTGAAACCGTTCATTGCAGCGTAGTCACAGAGTTAATATGAGTTATCAAACATCATTTTAATCTAGTTTCGTGTGTAGGTAGTTATCCAAGTTTGTAATGATAGGCCTGTCAACATTCATGGGGTGAATTGAAATTGCAGGGTGACAAATACAATCTGAACAACAGAGAAAGCAATCATAATGGTACGTTGTGACTTGAGGTATTGCTAAGTCAATAATTAAATGAAGTAAGAAATCTACATGGTAAAATGTCAAAATTGTGATAGTAGTTAAAGAAAACTGGAATTTTCGGAAACTAATGAGAAAATTTGAAATTGCTTTTTACTGTGGATTTTGAAGCTTTGAAGTAAAGGTTTTGTCGACGACGCATTCAACGAAATGTATATACGTAAATAATTCAAACACCTCTACAAATTCCATGAAGGCTGAACTTTTAATTGTTCGAAATACATGTATATAACATCAGTTTTATAAAGTTTAAAACATGACTTATATGTAAGATAATTTAGGTAGTTTTGTGATTAGTCCTAATTTGCTCATTTGAACTATCTTAGATGCGTGTTTTAATGCATCAAAAAGCCAAATGAATAATTGATAACGGCTTTGAATCGTTGATCACCTTCTGGTTATCTGAATTGTGGTTTCACCTCTGTCTAGGTGCTTCAGGCTATGCAAATTCAGCGACTGAACAATTTTTACTTGTGATTTTTAATACTGTTGGTACGACCGTTCTCGTGGAGGACTGATTTATTGTTGTTGTAATCTTGTTGAATCCATTATCCCAATTTACTTCTCCGTCCTAATTCTAAAATGGCACCCAACTCCTCAGCTGTTCCAGATACACCACACCAACAATATGGTGTTACTGTCACTGAGCTCCAAGAAATGATGCAATTACGTGGTCTCGAGGCCATAGACTATATCAAGTCTCGGTATGATGGTGTAATTGGACTTTGCAAACGGCTGAAAACGTCTCCAAGCTGTGGTGAGTTTAGCCTCCATCTTTGAATTTAATTTACTGGTGGTTTATATGTTATAATTCATACTTCGTGATTTCCGTGAGCCAGATGTAGACTTTTTTGATTCGATTAACTGCTAATATTGTAGCTTCTCAATTCCAAATTTCGCGAACAAATTGACATACTTCCTTTCGTTCTGTAAAAGAAGTTTTTGACAGAAATGTTACGCTTAAATTTTGTTCGCTGAAAAGAAGTTTTCGGAAATTATCTGAATGTAAATCTCACTATTTTTTTCTTTTGTCGTCCGCCTAGCTGTACATTGATTGCTTCATATAAAAGTTTTTTTCATTAACAAGACATGCGCTACGAAATTACTTAATACCTCCATGGAAATTTGTTGGGTTTGTAGTCCAACATGATATCTGGTGTTCACCCAAGATAGTTTTATGCGTCTTTCGGAAACAGAATATACTTAAATGAATCTCTATTTACCGTTCACATAGGTCTCGCCCATCAAGGCATTGTAACGTCCTGTCGGCAACTAACATGAACGGCTTTCTATTGCAACCTTTTATCACACGAACACTGACATAAAAACCCCGATAAGATTTCTAATCAACAAACTTTTTTCCCAAGTAAATGCATATTATTTTAAGAGATGTTTTTACTCTGTCCTACGTCCATTAGGTGTTCACAGCGTGGAAGTTGCCGAACGAACCCAAATATTTGGATCCAATGTTATACCTCCCAAACCTCCGAAAACGTTTCTGCAACTTATGTGGGAAGCACTTCAGGATGTTACACTCATAGTCCTTATGGCTGCCGCAGTTGTTTCACTTGCTTTGTCACTTTACAGCAAATGTAAGTAAATGTAAGGTTGTTGAATAGTTTACTGATGCTTTTAAAGAGGAGGAGGATGGCGTGGAACATGCTTCTACGAATCTGTTAGTAACTTCATTTTTCTGAAATTGAGGTCTTAGCCATCTGCACTCATAATGTCGCCAATGTTAAAGATTCTCGCTCTAATCATGGTTCTGTATGTCTTGTCTGAAGTAAATCCTGAACATTGCCTAATCGAAGGACTGAGTGGATCCTTGTAGTTTGCGTTCATATAACTTATTGGTCACAATATGTCGCCATGTTTTTGTTTATTTTAATCTCCACACTCCGCCCTCTTAAATTACATTCCTGTGATTTTAGTTTGTAAAAGTATTGTTATTTCAACTCAAATACTCAATTTTTTAAACATTTTATTGATATTTACAGCTCTTAAGACAAACGTGATGCAATCAGTTTGCGTATGACTTAGTTAAGTCAACATTTAAATAGGGCTGCCTGACCAATCCAGCAATAACACCGAAGCTTTTATTAGTTCATTTTTTGTACACTTGACACTTCAGTGTTTTAGTATAAATCCTTTTACTGGTCTTTGCATGTTCCAACAAATGGTTGTGCGCCAAACGCAAATTCAAAATACCTATGATTATTTTTCAACCTTCTTTATTATGGTCGTTATAAACGTCAGAAATGGTGCCCTTTATCTGATTGCGAGTTTTTCATAAATTCATCGCCATAGCCTTTTCATCATCATCGTCTTGAAGCATAGTTTTCCTTTTTTGTTAAATTGGAAAGGTAAGAGTTATTCTACTAGGCACGAGTTTGGCATTAAATACTCTTTGACACCATAATTTAAGTTTTATTGAACATCTCGTACGCCCACTCTACCGTATCTCCGTCGAGACTAGTTTCACACGACAATTTTCTTTCCCTCTATGTATGTCTAATATTTTGATTTGATGTGTTCTCCTTGTGAAGACTTATGGATCTGCTTGCAGCAAAACACTGACTTTACAATTTAGGGAATAAGTTTTTTCGTTAACAAGGACATTTAGCATCTGTGGTCAAAAGTACGGTCACCGTTGACATGAAGTCAACGTTACGTCAAAATTGGTTCAAGGGTGTAGTATGGCCATCGGCTTTCCGGCGTCGAATATCCCTAGTGCATTGAATCCAGAGGTTCTTGATCTCATTAAAGTGCAACGTACTCTCGTCCAAACATCTTTTAGCCGTCATTTCGCAATGTGAATTGACCCAGCACAGCCATTTGTAGATTTGGTAAAAATGGATGTCCATATAAAGGGAGGTGTTTAAATTTTGAAGTATGACAGCATATGATCAATTTGCACGTAATCAGGCATCGTTTTCCGATCCTTCGATGCCGATAAAGGGGGCTGTCACAGGGATTGTCTGTGGCACGGTGGCATGATCACAAACGTGGTAGTTCTGTCGAATTAGCAAATTTGCACTTGACAATCGACTTTAAGAAACCGGAGACAGGGCAGTACATCAGGTTGAATTTCACAGTCTCGTGTGAACACTGTCACTAGTTCTTCGTAATCGCCCTCTACGCAGTATCGCTGGCTCCTGCGTGGCTGGCGCTACCACAATGCTTCCTTTTTCTTTCGAATAGACCTCTTTATTGAGGATTTCTGTGTGTGGCTTGAGTTTTCACGCCACTTTGGTTTCACAGTGATGGAGGTAACTGGCAGCGGTTGCGACTACATTCGGTCATTCGAGTTTTATCGAAGTTTAGAGGACGAATTCGCCTGGGTTGTCTGTGGCTGACGCCGAAATCTTTCATGTTTGCAACTATAAATACCTTATACTAGTGCTTCGGGTGTTTTCTACATTTTTTGTGGATTGTGTTAGTCTAGATCAGAATCAGACATTTGAACTGTCCCGATTAACACCGTATACTTTGTGGATTTGCTGTTAAAACGTTACAAATTTGACCCTTGTTCATGGTTGTAGCAAAACATATTTTCTGTTTTCGACAACCGGGTTACATCGGTAGAACATGTGATCGGTTCTTGGCTTCTGCCAGGCTGAGAGTGCCAGCTGATAGGCCATGGCTGCGTGCATTTATCGAGTTAATCGGTGTGAATTTTGACCCCCACGTCCGGTCCACATCGTGCTCACGGATGCAGATCATCACGTCGTGCATAATAATAACATGTACCAATTTTCTTAATGGAAAGACCATCTCCTGTCGTCTTACATCTAAGTATTTCATGGGTTATGTGAACACTGGGTTTAAGAAAGAACAACAACCACTTTGGGATTGTTTTCTAACTCCATTTACATTTATCTGACAGTGAATTTGGCTTCATTTGTGAGGTTTCGTCCTATAGTTCCTCAATTACAATGCTTTTCAATGTTTTGATTCGGTTACAGACGCAAGTAGGGTGTGCGAAATTCGCAGTCACAATACAGAGTAGTCTCCATGTTGTCATTACGCTGTATTTTAAGTGCAAATGGGTGGCTGGATACTAGCTGAAGTTTTTGTATTGCCTTCTAGCTAGAATTAGATCTTACTGTTAAATTAGGTTGAAGTGTGGTCACCTTTTTGCCAAGACTTAAATGTTGTTTCTGATGGACGATTTTATGATTGATGTATCTGACACACTAAAGTCGAGTCTACTCTCTCAAAGTGATTGTGGCTGGCAATCAATTCCGGCCCATGAAGGTTCGAGGTCATATTTGAATGAGTTGTTTCACGGCTCACTTCAGGCCAGTGCCGTCTTCCACGTGAGGTGTCGCTGATTCAAGGTGTTTGTGGTGCGTGTGTAAAAGTGTTTTCCAGTTTGTGGAGCCTGTGTTTGGAACTCCACTGAATTTGCGACGCCTCGAACATTTGTCTCAAGGTTTTCTCTCAGACTACCCGAAAATTCAAATGTGAAATCCGAAGGCTTGATCAGCGTTACACTTAATCGCAAAAAATTCCTAAATCTGATGTATGACGTTTTTTTGATTTGGAAGGCTCCTTAGATGTCAGAATATAGTGATGTGAGGATTAAGGGAGGTGCCAGCGAGTGTGTGATTACGATTTCCATCTCTACATTATTTTTTAATATTTTTCGGTAGAAATCACTATCATGTATGCCAAAGCACTTACATTTGCAGGTGTCATGAAATCGGAAATAAAATTTTAAGTAATTGATTAAGGTTCTGATTGGTCTATGTTGTTCGTGACATATTTGATAAGCTTTTCTGTGTTGCCAAATGCTACTGTGTGTCAGACTGTCGCATGTGTTCAGCAAGTTTCCTGTGACTCGTCTAATCTATGTATGTATTTGCCTTGTAATTATCATCTTCGTGTGTGTTTGATGGTCTGTTGAGACTACACGTTAATGGGATTATATCGAATTTGCAAGTCCGCCTTGCAGAAGCGACGCCGCATGGAACCGCCTTAAGACTAATTAAGTTACACTTTATACGCCAGTTGGCATTGCTTTGCGGTCGATCAGGAGCCCGTTGTGGTCTTTTCCTATCCCCTCCTTTTCTCAACATAGTGGCCTGCCGTTCCTGTACCCAAATGCATCTGTGAATTCGGGTTTTGGTGTACGTTTTTCCCCGTAGTACATTCGAGTCGTTCGAGATCACCAGCCTTCGTCCAGTATCTGAAAAGGCTCGCTAGGTTATCCTTTGAGGTTTTTTGGTTTTTTTCCCGCACACTAGTCATTAAGGGAAAGCCTCGTCGCACTTTGTTTTGCAAATTGTCCCGGTAATCGACTAACTGCCTCAAAATCTTGATTGTAAACATCTATGGTTTGTCTTTTGCTTAGATAATTACTTGGCTGTCTTTTGTTCGTAACAGTTTTCAGCCTTTTTATTTAAAGTAATATATTGGACTTTTTGTTAGCTGTTGCCATTTGCCACTTTGCAATTCAAATTTTGCGCAAATTTAAGTACCTACGCGCATTCAGTTGATGTCCAGCCTTTGTAGACAGTGTTAGAGCAGTGATCGTAAAGTATGCTAATTTTTCACCCTGTAATGCACCAACTTGTTTGCATGACCCTCGTTGCATCTAATTTTTTATTCTGAATCTGGTGGATTTGGGATTGTGTAATTCAGGTTTTTATTTCTTTGTGGGTGGAATTCATGTCCCACTCTATCCTCTCCTTCCCATTCAGAATAGGCGCGATTTCATTGGTTGCTAGCCCAGAACGCCAGTGCAACCCTGACGACCAATCAGAGTAAAACCCTTCAAAATGTGGAATTGAATAAAATTAACCGGTGATTATTCAACCTGGTCCAATTTACGTTATGTAAATCAACCCAAAGGACTGATTTATTTAGCCGTTTACCAAGAATAGGGTGTTTTTAATGGATTCTCAAAGATTTTGTTAAATTTTGTGTGAACCCTTGCCTTGAAAGTTAGGAGAGTATGATAACCGTGGTCTTCAAACAAAATCAACGTTTGCTGCACTTCCGCATACAAGTCGTTCCACGCATAGTTAAAACTAAAGCCATCTCCTAATACTGCACCATTTAGTCTACATAGGATTTTTCTAAAACGGTATCCTGTTTAAAAGCATGTAATCTTGCTGTTTTGACCCTGTAAACTTACGTAAATCACCTTCTTTCAAGCGTTCTACTTAGGCCTATTAAAAACCATGACCTTATAATGCAATTTGTTTTCTGATAAGTCCAACGGCATTGGTTGATGAACTCTAAAATTCGTTGATTAATTTACTCATGTGCCATTCGATTCGAATGCCTTCCTTGAATCCTCTGCCAGCTTGACAATGACTGCCTTCGGCATTTCTTCAAAGTGTGTTGACGACGAGTTGACCAATGTGACATTGAAGGGTGTGTGTGAATGTGATGAAGTTACGCAGTTACAGAGTCTTTAACAGGCAAAATAAATTTTGGTTTAACGAGCTCCAACTTGCTGAGGCAGTAGGCCTTTTCGAAGGAAAAGTGAATGCTTCTGCATAGTCGTCATTGAGAAGTGTGATTTGGTGTTGTCTAAGTGGAAAACAAAGCCCGCTGTGTTAGCCTGCTTTGGTTTCGTAGTGCTAAGTGACAAGCCTTAGGTTTGTGCTTCGTTCCTCATTTTTTTGCAAATTTTGGCCGCTTTTTATTTTCTTGGGCTCCAAAAATGCGTAGCCGTCTCATGGCCTGGTCGCCTGTTGTCAAATAACTTTAAAGTCCAACGTGTTGCAGGCCACATCCTTTTATTAGGTTTGGTGACGCCGGTTTTATTTTTGTTTATTGTCCACGTCGTAAAATTAGTAAATAACCAATAGTAAGGTTATCGTGGGGTGTATGTTTTGGCTGCAAAGTGAGCAGTTGCCTGCACCCAGCCTAGTTCACGGAACGTGTTCTACTGTAGAAATTGTTCAGCACAATCTGCTTTCCGTTACAAATCTGTTCGAAAGCACGGCTAATCCTTGCCTGATACGGTGCAGATGCGCCGGTGCGAATGTTGGTTAGATTAAAAGCCGATTGAGGCATCTTGCTTATGGCCTAAGCAAGGTGTCGCAAACTTGAATCACGATATTTTGTGTCACAGTTACTGGCTTTTATCACGAGGATTTCCTCCAAATCTATTCATTGTTTGCAGATAGCGGGGGTCACATTGGTGGAGATGAGACGGAAGGTGACGCCGGTTGGATTTAAGATGTGGTTTTACATCTTTTTGTATACAAATGTCATTTTTTTGCTTTATTTTTATGCTTCTATTTCTATTTCGTAGTGGCGTTACTTGGCATGCAGTTTATTTTACTACCAAGTTTCTTCAGCGCTATTTTGCGTCCCTGAATAGTCTTCCTTGTGCTTCTTTCGTCAACGTCTCACCGATATCTGTGAGATTTTGTAAAAAAATATTCTTTTTTCTGCATTTAATCGTTGAGAATGGGCGATAAATAATATGAGTATCATTTAAACTGCATATTACTTTAATTTTATGTAGCACTCCGTCCAGTCTGTGGTCAGTATTTACTTCCAAGTATTCGTTAATTAAAGAGTTGAAATAGCATAAACTTGGTTTTGGGGAGGAAATTTCTTTAATGCAAAAGGAAACTCACTGTGACGGTTTATCTGCTTAGATGTTGGCAACTCATATATTTGACAAGACATGGAGTTCTTAAATCACAAGAAAACACACTTTCCACTTTCGCTAAGTTGCCAACTCTTCGTGGCTATTTCAAGTATTCTACTTGTCATTCGATGCTAGGCATTTTTGCGGTTCCAGACCTTCGTCATGACGTGGCGATCCCTACTTTCTGACTTTTAGTTCCTTAACATTGAAAGTTTTTGAATTTGCTTGTCGCCCGATTTCGATTTACCCCGTTTAAGCTACAGCGCTTCTGCTTTCGTCACAATGCATCGCTGCAAATTTCTTAGCTGCGTTGCCTATTTTTGTATGTGTTCCCAAAAAAGGTAAAAATTACTTTGTTATTTTTGAAATCTGCCAACCTGGTTGATTCGGGTGGAAGCACTCTACCAATAAGGGAACTTGTATGCTCGCACTTAATAATTCTACTCTCGACTGACGAAAGTGTGCATAAAAGTACCAACTGTCTGAAGCAATGAACGTCATGAAAAGCCATTCTGACCTCGCGATTCGCGTTGCCTGACTTGTTCAGGTCTGAACTGATCTGCTACTCATTGTGGTTTTGGACACCCTCTGTTTGCGACGGCCATGAGGCAACCAGTATCCGTGACTTTACACTGGAAGTACTTTAGTGCATTTATTGGTACTGAGGTTCTCGGGATTTTTTCATGCTTTAATTTTTATATATATTCTAAATGCGATTAGTGACCTTTGAGTGTGGACAACACTGCTAATTGCGGGAGCGCCTGCTGGTGACCGTAGTTAGAGCCCATGACCTCATTTTCATGTCCTCAAGTTTGCTTAGAACTGGCTAATTGATCATCAGTCGTCTTAAGCGCTGCCCTCCAAATATTAATCAGTTAAATAAATCGACTACTAAACTACAAAAGTTCATACTTGGACTTAACAATTGGATGTAGTTCTTTTGCACTTTTGCTTTTCAAAGTTCATTCTCGAACACTCGGAACTTAGACCTAATTCTCGCCACCTGAAGAGGATTTTTGCTTTTGCCTGTCAATTTGTGGTTTGGACATGGAGGTTTGGGGCGGAAGGTCAACGAAGCACGTCGCAGTATTCATTCACGCAAATTTTTCCTTTTTAATTCGCAGCTTCATTTTATTCACAGGGTTTGTTTCATTGAATTCTTTGCATGTTTAGTGATTTATTCTAATGTAACAGCGTAGATATATTGCATTTAAGTCACGCTGAAAAGTTACATATGGAATCCACCGCGCCAGTCCAGTGCGAATCGTCTCGCCAAGCTAATATCTTTACTAAATTGACAATGAAAAGGATTGCCATCGCATAATTTTGCCTTTTAGGCTGTCCACTCACCCTGTTTTGGTGCTTCTATTTCCTAATTATCCACGGTGCATTCAAAGCCCCTGCTACTCTGACATAGTACAATAAAAAATTGCCCGTTCACTGTGTTCGCATTTGGCGCCGTCTTTTATGGAATTTCAATTTGCCTTCCTTCCAGCCTCCCAAGAAAGCCAGTGAATTGCCCACTCAATTGGGAAATAAGACCGAGTGCGCTCTGCTCGGGTTCGTGCAGGCCCTCGGTACCTCATATGAGGACATCAGGAACCAATGGCCAGAAGATTCTCTTCTCAAAGTCTTCACCTTCAACTCGGAACGGAAATCAATGAGCACGATCATTCGAAGCCTCGACCAAAGCAAACGCGGACTAACTGTTTTCACGAAGGGTGCTTCTGAGATGGTACTTAAAAAGTGAGTTTTCTTTGAAAAATTCCCCCCCCCTTCTACGCTTCCACCTCGCACCTGGTCGAATGGCGTTCTTGTTGTCGCCGGTGTGTGGGTCTCAATCCATTCAGTCTCGTTTGGAACGCTGCAGTCTTTGGCAAGTGTCTCTGGTTTCCACGCCAACCCACATTCCTTTGTAGCCGGAGTTCATATTGAATTGACTTTTTAAGACGCCAATTTCCTGTTGCATTCAATGGCTCTCATAGTGGTGCATTGGGAATCGGTTTTAGATGTCAAAATAGCTTGCCTTGCCTGGTCAAATACAAAACATGTTTTTTTAATGTTAAACGGGGTATAGGGGCTGCCTTTGATAAACCGCCGATGCGACTTGTTTTCGTAATGCGAGTAGCCACCAATTCGTGTACAAAGTCACGTTTTTTCCAAACTTGTAAGTCTTAACTGCTTTTAAAAAAACCTGTGCTAAATGTTGTCAAAATCCTTTAATTTTTTACGTAAGTGTTGGATTTTCTTAATAAGTGCAACGACTCGTTGCCATAATAACAATTCTAGAATTATACAATACAATTATGCTGAATTCTGTGACGTTTACTCTCGTAAACCACAACTGTTCCATCAGAAGAAAAAAAATGCTTATTGCCCTTCTTCAGCAGTCCTACTAGAACGCCGATGGTCTTAACTACGTACCCCAATTTCGAAGATCTGCATGTTATTCGCGCAATACGTCGCTTCTGGTGTTTCCCGACAACGCATTGTGTAGGGCCCCTGAATGCTGTGGTTGTGGCTCTACCAGCCCCGGGGTTTCGTCCTGTCTCCAGCGGTCAGCCGATTAGCTTCCCCTTCGAATTCCCTGTGCTTAAAATTAAGTTTACCAATAGGATGCTTAATTAAAAAGCACTTTGGTCCCTACGAGCCCCTAATTAAAGCTCGCCAGAATAACATGCACCGGACCGGCCTCTCGGACTCGACCCAAGTTTAACTGGAACCCTCACAAGGGCAAATCTTAGTTAAATTGTCACCTATCCTAGCTGCGCAAACGAACACACGGTGCAGCATTTTCTAGTAAAGCTGAAAAGTCGGTAGATTGACTGGAAAGGTGTTTGTAGTTTTAAAGGCCAACCGTTGTGCAGGTTGGCTGCCATTTGACTCAAAAGACCAGTAAATTTCTGGAAAGTGTGCTGGCTCATGGGAGATTGTAGGTCTCCACCTGAAAGATGCTTCAAGTAGTTGAGTTGTTGGAAAAATCCGTTTATTGTAGAAATATTGGCTCAAAGGAAGCTCACCGATTCGCACATAGAAGTAGATGTTGATGATGGTGGTGATTGTCTGAAGTTAACGCGTAACGCGCACACGCATCTTCACGACATACCTATTAAACGTCAGAGTGATTTGCTTAGATGTATACACACAATTACAGTTGGCATGAAGGAACTTCAAAACATACTTTCGGCGTCATCCAACATCAATTGCACTTAAGATGAATATCTGTGTTCATGAGATGGTGCGAAACAGACTCAGTCTATTGATTGATGAAGTTGTCTCGTTAGCATTCAATTTTTGCGCACGTCTTCCGGTTTTGCGTCGTTTCAAGCACGCACATCCGTGTCTTTTTCGACACAACGCTGCATGCAAGTCTACGAGGTCACTGCTTTCATTCGCGTTCGTTCGTGCACGCGCGAGTGTTCGCATGCTCTCTATCGCCAAAACTCAAAAATTGATATTCCTAATCTGTTGCTAGTTTCAATGTGATAGTGGTCCCAGTACCCAACCGGTTATAATGTCGGGCCCTCGACACTCGTTTTAGAAAATAGTTGTGGTCCCAGCTACGTGTCTCAAGTCGCGCTGCACTGTTGCATTTGGCTGCAAATTGGCTATTTACGTTCGCTGTCATAACGACTACTGAAAACAGCCATTTCGGTTATATCCTACCTTGCTTAACGTTTTTCCTAAGCACCATTCGTTATATACCAAGCCTAAGTTCTTCGTTGCTTACATCTGCTCGTATTTTGACACCGAATAGTGCTTTAGTTGATGCTAATAATACCTACCTTTTTTATCAAATGTTGATTTGCTTATGAATTGCGTAAAATATGCACATTACTCGTGGTGAACGTCCAGGATATGTTAATAATTATAGTCATTTAAATTGGTTACCGTATTTTTGATTTTGCATCCTCGTACCTTTAAGGCCACATTACTTGGCTGAACATGGCTGTATTATTTTCTTACGGACATGGTAAAACACACGTTTAATACAAACTTCAGGTGCTCAGAAGCTTTGCGAAAGTCAGAAACTTGATGAGTTCGTTCCGGCGCATTGCAGAAATTTGTTCTTTTTTATTTAGAAACGATTTCGCATAATTGTCAGGAAACATTGCAAGAAATTATCATGTTTTTCTGACATAAATGCGTGTTAAACCAACCAAAGCTATAGTGATCGATTTGTCAGTGCATTTGTTCATGTAAGTTTTTTTGTTTGTTTTTTTTTTCTTCTGCGCATCGCCTTACGATGCACCCATGCCTCTAACTTTGGATACATTTACAAGCTCAGATATATTTATGAGAGTGGATAAACTCAGCTACTGTCGTCTGTGACTTTGTAAGCCTCATGCAAATATCTGTGCGTTGTGAAGTTGGTATCTGTTTTGGTCTGCAATTGTACACGCACTGCCATGCAACCTTTCTGCAGCTAGTAGCGTTGCTACACAGTCAGCTGGCTTTACCTGTATTCTCGCGCAGCCGAAGTTGGTACAGACTGTTTCATCACTTGCCTGCATGCAGTTCCCCGTCCTCAATTAGGTGTTAGAGGCTAAAGAAACCACTTTGTATTTGCAATGGTAGAAGATGCATTGACTCTTAAGCCCTACATTAGACCCTGAATAATTCGAAACCTTGATGACTCTGAACACAGTGTCGCAACCAAGTCTTGTGCACACACCGTGCTTGAAGGTAAAATGAATTGGGGCACTTTGTGTGCATCCTTTCCTAAACCTGATAGTGATATTTACTGTGCATGGCATAAGTAGTGCAGTGTGACATGAGTGGCTTTGTGTAGTGTAGTGATCACTGCTTTGAGGTGAATCAAACTAGTTCAGTTAGTCAGCAAGTCCCTCTGAATAATTTCGAACCACGCTAGAACATTCGTGCTCGTTTGATTTCGACCATTACTGGCATTTACCCAACTAGACACGGCAGTCAAACAGGTATTTTTTGACACCAAAATCCACGCACGCAATTAGTCTGGCCACGCGATATATATAAGCGATGTGAGATCGCCTGATCACGATTTAGCGTCTGGGGGGTGTTTGAAGTCGGGGTGTGCAGATTAAGAGGGGAAGTGTGCGAACGGGACCTTAATCGACCTTCCCCTCACACCACACCCGCCTTATTTACTGCCAATACACTGCAATAGTTGTCCTGGCGTGGAACTATGATTGAACTTCGAATTCGTCAGCACTACTCTTCTACTATTTAGCCTCCTTGATGCCGTTTTTGACATTATTTTAAGGCAAAAGATTGATTACACTATGCATGAAAGACGACGTACATTCCTTCTACCAGAAATGGGTATTAGGTATCAGCCAAGTACCACTAATCGTGGTACCTCTATAGGTATGGGGGTTTCTTATTAAATTTAAAGTGAATGTTTTGCATTATCATGATACCGAGAAGCTTCAAAAGTTAAAGCATCCGCGGGGATGGTAGATCCAATAGGAACCGGACAGGAACGGCAAATTTTACATCAGTAGCCCATGACCTTTAGTTTACTGGAAATACTAAGGAATCAGAACCACCTTTTTAATTGTTATTATTCATTGGCTTTCCATAGGTTTATGATCTTCTTCGTCTGGCATTCGCCTCTTGTAGGCCGTAAAAAATTTATGCATCTTTCGTCTTACTACTCTTTGTTTTACAGGGCGTTAATTTCCCCTTTCCGCGCCAGTTGCTGTGATAAAATGATTTGCGTTTTGTTGGAGTACCGACATTTCAGTTATTTCCTGATTAATTTGCGGTGTTAGTAAAGAGATATTTAAAAGCATTGTTAAACTATCACGTCTGCGGTCTTTGCTATGACACTAAGATCGGTGATGATCAATATCTGGGGATCACTTGGTTACAAAGTGGCTTGTCGTGGGCTCCTGCATGTGGTCTTGAACCACACCGGGGCCACGGAATTAACCCTGGTCCGATTACGTTTCCCTAATACCCATGATGAAGAAAAAGAGCGAAGAGGACGTGGACACAACCGTTTACTTCAGAGCTCAACCTCGTTGGTGTCGTGTCGTGTGTGGGGTTTGCGCGTGTGTATTTATACCTCGGATTTGTGAGTCATACATGCGTTAACATCGAAACCTAGGTGTGGGGATGCTCCAAGATAAATATTCGTGCCAATGAGGGGGGAGTTGAGGATCCGCGCGACTGGCGACATGCTAAAAAAAAGGAACCCCGTGTTGGAGATAGAGTGACCGGATTAAGGGGTGTAGATAAACACGACTCACAACAAGCTCATGCCTTCAAATCGTTCCCTTTAACTAATTGCGTCTTCGGTAAAGATATTTAGATCTTTTTTTTTAATCATCAAACTTGAAGGTATAAAAGTTTCATTGCTCTAATTGCATTAATGTTTCCCTGCCTCCTCGTTCCTGTTCTTCTCTTTTTCATCTTGTTATCTTATTGCATTGTTCCCCGTGACCCAAATTGAAGTCCTTAGTCCTTCACTGCTCACCTGACCTCCTCGACACTGTCAGCATTTGTCCACCAAACTTGGTTTAGACTTTCGCCAACTTAATTTCCTCTGCACTTCCACACGATCGGGACTTTCGGTGTATTTGTAAGCTGGATCGGCCAAGTGACGCATGCACCAGGCCTGTATCGCGTGCACTTTTGCATCATGTAATTTGTATTTGAACTGAAGTCCAGGTCTTACCATGTAGTCTACCGCTGGAGGTGTGCCTTTGCTTTATTCTGCTCACCGCAAGAATACTTATGAAATTTGGATTTTTCATGTTTCCTGTTTTTGTCTTCATATTACCCGAAATTCACTGCAAACGAAGCGTTTTTTGACTCTGAATGCACTCCATTTCACCACCAAAGATTTTTATTCACATCCTTTTTAAAGTGTTCACCTCCTAGATGCCTATTCGTGACCTCTGTGTGATTTCCTGCTTCGGAAATCGTAATGTCTAAGTAAAATCTAACTACAACAATGGTGAAATAGAGCTCATGCCTATTGTTTCTCGGTAGCACATTGTTTATTTCGATTCAATTGTATGCAGGCCAATCTAATTGAACGTGCGTTGTGGATGCTTGGCCTCTAAAGTCAAATTACACGTAGAGCACTGTGATACCCTTTTCACCAAAAAGCATCTTTTCGCCGAAGTTTGTTAGCTACACTTAAAATGAACGCTAGCATTCATCTGAACCCTTCACTTCCCAAAGTAGCTCGGCCTTGGTCTTGACGACGCCCCATGTGACAGCCATGAGGGCCCCACACCCTCTTCGCGGCTCATTCCCACCTGATTGTTCTAATGTGAAGACTGGCTGTTCATCTAGGCTGAGGGAGGTCGGAGGCTGTGTATAAATTCTGCATTTTTCTCGATCGTTTTTTTTTCAAGTTGTAACACGTGCTTTTGTTTTCTCTGTATTAAAATGCGTGACTGGTTTGGTGATCTTCGTGTGGAGTAAATGCAGTAACACCATGAACATGGTCTTTTTAGGTGCTCCTTCATACTTGACGCCAACGGTGAGGCCCAGCCATTCCCCCAATCAGCACAGGACGAGGTCGTGAAAACCGTCATTGAGCCAATGGCCTCCAACGGTTTACGGACAATTGCGATCGCCTACAAAAACTATGTTGGCAGTGGTGCGTTACCATTCTATTTATGCGTTATCGTAAGGTTTATGAAATATCTGTGTTTTAGGCTCCCGTTTTATTTTACTTTTGTATTTTCTAGCCTTTGTTTGTCAGTCATTTTGTCAAGTACTTTCTGGTTTATCTCCGAGCATATAGCTTCTTTAATGGAAAAACTGAAACTCAGTTGATAAGGTTTTTAGCAATTTCCAGTTTTCGAAGCCTCGAAAAAACAGCAGTTGATTTTCAGCTACTATTCAATGTTCGACTCGGGTGTTAAATTATGCACTTCGATTTCGTTTTCTTGTTAGCTTATAAATTGTACAAATACAAGCAGTTATTGTGTGGTAAGCACGCTTGGCATCCAGCCGGCGGTTGATCTGCGCCTGTCGCATCCTCCAAATTCCGTGGTCTGTAGTGGCATAGAGTCACTGCCTTGAGTCACTCATCGCCTAATTTTAGCAAGCTTGTCGGCTGGACGGTAGAAACTGTTTTTTGCATAAAAGTTGTTTACCTTGACGAAACCGTGCCTTAAACTGATGCTTCGGTCTATGGTGTCACGTGACTCCGGGATGGAAACACTGGGGCATTTGTGACCCATAAAAAACCGAACAGAAGAGACTGGGGTAACTCGCCCAAATGGGTCATCAAATTCTTATGATTCGAAGAGGATGCTTACCCTATTCTTAACTAGTAGAGCCAAATCGGAACATTCTTTTTGCCGGAAGTCGCAAATAATGACCTCCACTTCGTGCAAGCCAAATTTTTAGGGCTTTTAAAAGCTCGTCGCTCAAGCTCCCTGTTTATGCGTTTCCGCGATCATTAAGACAAGGAATTATAAATTGCTCGTACTTGTGGTGTATGTACACGACGACGCGGCTGACACGGTCCCTGTTCCGTGGCGTACTCCTAACCGTGAAACCAGAATTGGGCAACTCATGAGATTTCGAATTCGACGTTTTAAATTGATGGTTCATCGCGATCTACGAGAAATAGCTTGTGGGTTAACATTTGATTGAATAATAATTGGTTGCAGCCACTAGAATGTCCACAAGTTTACGATATCAAATGTCCTTCTGATTTTTTTCTACCCCTACTTTGTTCAGGTGTTACACCCGAGAGCAACGAGTTCCCAATGCCCAGTGGTAAACGGCAGGACCTCGATGATGAGAACGGTCTCATTTGCGATCTAACTTGTCTTGCAATTGTGGGCATCGAAGACCCCGTTCGACCCGAGGTTCCTGCTGCCATTCGCAAGTGTCAGCGAGCTGGCATCACCGTACGAATGGTGACCGGTGACAACGTCAACACCGCCCGCTCCATCGCCTTGAAGTGTGGCATCATTTCAGAGGGCGACAACTACACCATTCTTGAGGGGAAGGTGTTCAATCAGCGAGTGCGAGATCCGCGCACAGGAAAAGTAAAACAGGAGCTCATCGACCAGATCTGGCCGTCACTGCGGGTCCTTGCGAGATCCTCCCCACAGGACAAATACACTCTGGTCTCGGGGATAATTGACAGTCACCTCACCAGATCGCGAGAGGTGGTGGCTGTAACAGGCGACGGGACCAATGATGGACCTGCGTTAAAGAAGGCCGATGTTGGCTTTGCCATGGGCATTGCAGGAACTGATGTCGCCAAGGAGGCCTCAGACATTATCCTCACTGATGACAATTTCACCAGCATTGTGAAGGCAGTTATGTGGGGCCGGAACGTCTACGACTCAATCGCGAAGTTTCTTCAATTCCAGCTTACTGTCAATGTGGTTGCCGTGATTGTGGCATTTGTCGGAGCTTGTTTTATCACGGTAAATATTATTTAACCCCCGAGAGCCACATGCGCTTATTGTTTGTCCTGATAGTGCTCTTTCAGTATGCCTTCTCTGGCCCAAAAAGCGTTCATTAACCTAGCTGTGGTGTTTTCGACTACAAAGACATACTTAAGACACAATTGCTAGCTTTAGTGCACTCTGAAAGTATGTAAGGAGTATGGATGGAGTTATGGTTTGTAGTATGTACTTTTAGATCGAAGACACCCTTGATTTATGGTGTGCCGGTCTCCTGAATTCGACACATTGAGCTTTTGTATCTCTAGAAACTTTGATCCTATTGGTGGTCTATAATTGGCATAACCACTGCTCTGACGTGACTTTCATGAAGTGGATAGCTTCAAACAGTAATAAACGTGACTACTGACCAACGTTTTGGTTCTACAACCGTTATTCCAGAAATGCCAAAATGAATACATTATGTTGCTTAGTCCTGTCTTGCTTTGTGTTAGCTAAACACGGCTTCATTTTGACTAACAGATTTCGCCCTGCGTAGTTTCAGACTTAATCCGAAATACGCGAGGTGACTAACGCAGCACAAGGAGCACAAATTTAATCAAACACACCACTGTGTCGGTTGGGTCTCTGGTTAATTATATTGAACGTCGAAGACCATCAACGTTCTGAGCGCCGCGCAAAAATTTCTCTTGTTAACAGAGGCGTGGTCACCTCCAACCCATTTTGGGCTGGATGTTGAAAGACTAGAATGTGGTTCACTAGCATAGCGGTATGATCTAAAATGGATTGCATCTTTGAAGATTGGAATGAATGTTGCGTGGAAAGTTAGGTAAAGGATTATGAAAGTTGAACCTGTAGGTCTTCCTCGTACCACGTCCTTCGAATTGTTGCATTCTCTGAGAATAACTCTCAGATTTCCTCTTAATTCCTTTTAAAGTTTGTTAAGATACTGAGTTTATGTGTTTTCAGTATTTAAAACCCGTTATTTTCAGTTTATGAATTTGGGCATGACAGTTGTTAAGTGGGCGTGTAGAACCAGGATGCTAGCAGACGATGGATTCATGCGTCATTTCGCTTTCTATTTTAAACGAGGTTTTTCTTCTTTCTGAAATTGTCAACTGCTGCGAACCTTATACGTGAATAAAATTTGCTGACTCTTGGTGTGCTTCTTGCAAACTTTTGGACAATGAGAGGTTTTAGTTTTCAAATGGAAGGCCAAACTGTGAACAAGGTATTTGTTGAACACTCGATGCTTGACGAGTCTGGATAGGGTAAAAACGTCACAGGTGCCGTCGATTCTGTGAATCCTAGTGCTGTAAATGCTTTAATATGCCAGCCCCACCGTAAAAAACATGAAATCTCTTGTTTTGATCTTTGCTGCGTATTGAAACCGTGGTTTTGTGGCAATTCTTTCCGTGGGGCTAAAGTTGCTCTTTATGTCATCAGTTTCTTTACAACGTATGCTTGGTACACGTTGAAATCACGCTGAAATTCGTGCCTTTTTATTCGCGCACAGGGGACTAAAATGATTTTCAACGGATTATTTTGAAGCGTTAATGTTAGTGGTCATTGGATTCTGTGAAACTCATGCGTCATTTTATAAATTTTTGCAGCTTTCTGTGCTAGGTGCTCGTGGTTTACTGCTTTTAAAGTCAGATCTTAGATTTTCAATCCACATTTTTTTCAGGACAGTCCCTTAAAAGCCGTGCAGATGCTGTGGGTTAATTTGATCATGGACACACTGGCCTCGTTGGCATTGGCGACGGAGATTCCCTCGGAAGAGCTGCTCGAGAGGGCCCCCTACGGCCGCACGAAGCCCATTATCGGACGAGCCATGATCAAGGCTATTGCCGGCCAGGCAATCTACCAACTCACTGTTGTCTTCTACCTTATATGGGGAGGTAATTTGACGTCTTGCCTGCCCACCTCTAGGCCCTTATTCGTTCCTTTCCCCTAGCATTTCAGGTCTTAAACTGAACTTTTTCCAAGCTCGTCAACGGAATGAGTAGACACTGTATTATAATTATTATTTTTCCGCAAAATTGACTTACAAGGAAGAACCAAAACGCGGGACATGACTAGTGATGTTAACTGTACTTCACTTTTCTATAACATTCGTGTTCTTTGGTTAGTGTCATAATTGATGTGCAAGAATGCGTTCGTGTTATCTTGCTCAGTTCTCGTTTGGCGATCTTGGTAAAATATAGTACTTGTGCAACCCACTGCGTGAGTAAATCATCCCGTCACAATCAATTCTGGGTCATGTCAATCTCTCAATACGGCCAATTTTTGTAATACGCACTCAGGAATCTAAAAAAAGTAGAGACAGTCAGCGGTCGGCATTGTGAGGCATCCTCCGACGAGCAAACAATTCAATCCAGATGGGATCAGTGCGATGGTCCCTCATTCATTCAAATATCCTCCAGAGTGCAGTCATTTCTACTTCTGAAGAAACGGAACCTTCAATATTGGAAATAGTTGGCTTAACTGTATGCGACAAAACGCATTTTTAAAGATATGAAGTCTTAGGGTATGCGAGGCATTGATAATGTCTGCTTTGTGCCAAACTCCTGCCGTCAAGAGACGGTTGAAACCTTCACAAATACTTGGCTGTTTTCGACGAACAGCCGATCTGTTTGGCCTGCAGTAATCACCCGCTCTTCATTTCTGCATGTTAGTGCTTTTTACATGGCATGCGCTGCAGAATTAAGTCGATGTTAAGATATCATTGAAAAAAGTCAGTAGGTCTAATCGGTGACGTGTATGGTCATATGTTTAAAAATTTAATCCTAGTAAAATTTTCACCTTGATCCTCGTACGATTCAAATCGAGGGTCTTTTATATTAATTTGCCCTAGGTGTTTAAGGAAGCTGTAGTGGTGTTGGTAAATTTTTCCGAAGGACATAAACAGCTGTCTTACATGTGTTTCGTAAAAAAAGAGTAGCGATCTCTACGATGTGTGTGAACGCTAGTTGTGTGTCAGAATGTTTGGGCTTAATGTTTGCCAAAAGATTGAATTTGAATTTTTTTCCCCCAGGTGAGGTTCTTTTGGATGTGGACAGCGGACGCGGTTTATCGGAGCAGGGACTTAGCCGGCCAACTGAACACTTCACAGCCATCTTCAATACTTTCGTTCTGATGACGCTTTTCAATGAACTGAACGCCAGGAAGATTCATGGACAGCGCAATGTTTTTGAAGGGCTACACCGAAATCTCCTCTTTGTTGTCATTTGGATCACGACCTTTGTGCTACAGGTGACTGCATTTATTACTGCCCCTAACTGCTTTCTGCGATTCGGACCGAACTTAGTGCGAACTGAATTAGTCCACGCCTCGCAATTAAATCTTAAATGAATTCGGATCAAGTACTTCAGTAAATGAGGTGGTGGTTATATGAAAAGGATCATACTTAAAAATGGACTCAGGGTCATAGCAACTTCTTAATATAAATATTCCCTAGCCAATCAGTCGGACACTTCAAGGTGCTTGATGCACATTTTGATTGATGTCTTCTTTTTCTGATATAGTGTGTGTTCTAGTGGATTAAAGCATAATATGAAAACACACTCACATAGGTTTTCATATCCTACCAAAGATAAACGGTTTTTTACTAATCTCCAATCCCTTTGACACCTTTTTATTTCAAGGTTATCATTGTGCAATTTGGTGGTTACGCCTTCTCTACCCATCCCCTGCCTGTGGAACAGTGGCTCTGGTGCATCTTTTTCGGCCTCGGTTCGCTCATCTGGGGCCAGGTAAGATATTTTTCGATCACCACGTTGCCGAATTTTTTATTTGCTAGAAAGCGGCAGCGAAATGATAGGCTATAATTTTTTGCTATTAGAATATTTGTGCCAATGCTGCTCACTTATCAGCTAGATTCACCTCTTGGATTTCCGAATCATCGGTCTTCCCGGCCTTTCGATCTCGTTAATTCATTAATTGAATGGTCATTCCCACAATTAGAATTGCTCTCTAAAGTATTAGCTTGTTTGCCTCTACCTGGGGAAGATGAAACACGTTTGGCAGGTCCCAATGCATACAAAACCTTTGCCGCTGTTTGAAACGGTGACATGCTGTTTCTATCAAACTTGTAGTTGGTGATTTCGGTGCCAGTTTCCGTGATACCTAAGCGCTGTGTTCCCAAACGAAAGAGGAAAACTCTTCCACGCAAGTCTCTGGTATACCAGGAGCTTGCCGTTGTGCCAGAGACGGGTGCTCCTTCTACAGGCGACCAAGTCATCTCTGCCACTCAAATCCCTCGTCCTGTCCCCTCGGACGAAGAGGAATCCCTTTCTGAATCTGAGGTAGACTCTGAGAGTGAAGAATCGGGTGCTGAGGACATTGGAAGTGGAGACCTTAAGAGCACAGGCCAGATTCTCTGGATCCGTGGTCTTTCGCGACTGCAGACACAGGTACGTATAATGGCCAAGGTCTCTATTCTCCCTACTGCTGCCAATGCTATTCTATAAAATCTGTTTGTTTTTATTTTTGCCATTCCTCGGGGCATGTTTGTACACTTATACATAACCCCTGCCGTCAACTTCTTCCTGTGTGTACGCACTACCTCCTTCTGGCATGCGGCCCTCCCTGTTCTTCCCGCTGCATCCCGCTCGAAGCGATTGGCGTGAAAGGCAGCCTTCCTCTTCAAGGTCATCGTCTGATTGGGTTGTCTACTTGTGTGTTTGTTTGGTGTGATCCAGAGAAAACTAAAAACTGTCTGAAATGTTGTTGGTGGAGGATACTTGGGCACATTTGCACTTGCATGCATTCCTTCACTCTCTCATAACCATTTGTGCTCTAGCGATGCCCCTATTAGACATTTCGGTCTTGCCTCTTAAGCAATGGTTTTATCCACTTGGATTCCTTACTTAATGCAGCTAACCCTTTTGGCAACTCTTGTATGACACGACTCAGCTCTCGATGCTTGTTTCGCAAGAGTTCCTTGTAAAATCTATCTTTGCCTAGGCGCAATTCCGTTTTCATAAGAAAAGCACTTCATATTTACGGTGGAACGGCCTCACAATATATTCATTTATCCACACTTATGTTGGTTGAAAAGTTAATTAATTGGTGTCCTTTCAGATGCGTTTCAACTTTTATCCCTTGTCTGGCTTGGATCGATCTTAGCGATCAAGCGTTATTCCGAGTTATGCGTTTAAAAGAGCGTTGGAGATTACATACGTGAATATATACTCCGTTGATAGTTGCTTCATGTCTTGAATCCTAGGAATAGGATAAACACCTAAATTTCCTTTAACTTATTTTGACTTTATTGAGAACCAGGGCCGTACTTGACACGTGGTAGAGGTCGATGGTGCGCAACCTGAATTTTCGGTTTCATTTTGTGTGGCACTATGTCTGCAAAGGGTAAGGATTAATATGCTCGGATCCATCGGTGAGCGAGTTTCGGCTGTCGGTGTTGACTCAAGCAATCTCTCGCCCACCTAAACTTATGTCTACTTAGTCGAGTGGACCAGCGCTTTAATGCTTTTGTGTACGACTGTCAGCTCCGCAGTACGGAGTGATTGATAGGTTTCGAGTTTGTTTAGTCATTCTTTTTGTTAGTCGCGTTGGCTTATCCCCTCAGGATTATCTTGGACTTAACAAAGTTGCATTTGGGCTTCCCGTTGTGTAGGACAGAAGTGCACACTTCCCGCTCATCGCTCGTTTGAGCATAAACTTCCTCGTCACCACAGGTATTTTGCGTTGTTTTGGTTCTTAGAGCCTTGAGCTAATTTATGCACGAAATTTGTTTTGGCTCGAAAATCCTTGCGTAACATCTGCCAATTTCTTGTCTTCTCCTGTGCTAGATTCTCCATTAGATGCGGTAATTTGGTTCAGGAATGCGAAGACTTAGACAGTAGGTACTTTAGGCTTGACTATCCTTTCTCTGAATGACTAATTCGTGTGTTTTTCTGCAGGATGTATACAAAACGTCTCTTAATCAACCACTCAAATTAGGCCAGTTCCATAGGTAAAATTAACAAAACCCATTTGATCAATCTCATTTCTCGTTTGTATACCACCTTGTTTTTTTTGGTGGTATCAGGAATCTTATCATTTCCTGATAAAAATCTATGAAGGGGGTTTCGTACCCACACAGAAACCATGACGACACGAAAGTGGAGCCAGATAACTCGTTCTTTTGTCACAGACCGGATCTTTTATACACCTATGTGCTTCTCAAGTCAAAATAATGCAGTTTGTCAACGCTCCTGAAAAGCCACAATCGTTGGCTAGCAGGCGTCAGTTCACCTATGGGCCCACAGGTGGTCAAAGTAGCCAGTGCGATTTTCGCCTATTGTGGCATTGCAGAAATGTAGCCTCCTAACAGACTTTTTGGTGTGTCCAGTCTGACGTAGCACATTGGGATCCTTTGTTTGAGGCTACGTGAACTTTCATTTCTTTCCTCTGACTATAATAGGTCCTCTGTTAAATTTTAATAACATCGTGAGTCTCCTAACTTACTCGGCATATGTCGAGCATATTGAGCTAAAAGCTATGGATCAGTGATTGTCCAAATAAGGAGAAGTCATAGTTTAACATATTGACTTGGGAATACTAGCTATAGTCAGATTGGGAAGTCAGTATCGCTTGAAGCCCTTCATAATTTTCTCCCCGACCTCACTACCCTCATTAAGTTATTCACTGGCTTGCTAATAGATTGTGTTTAAGCAATTTCAACATTCGTTTTGCATAGTTTGCTTTCCCCTGACTCCTGGTCCGTCAGTTGAAAAAAATGCTTACTGAGGAATATGAAAAAGAAATCGACCTGTATTTATTTTAAGGTTCTGAACATCATGCCATCTCTTCTCTAATAGGATGAATATTTCACACTAGCTAGACGGCTCTTATTGAAGGTACATCTCTACCAACAACATTTCGCTGTGTCTGCCTGTCCGTTTGATGCATACCTGAGGAGACCACGTCGAATTGCCAGAAGCATTTCTGACCCAACTTCTTTTTCTTTTCTCCCTTTTTCTTTCTTCGCGACTTCAATCGATCGGTCGGCGGGTGCTCCTTCCGCCACCTCTTCCAACGTGGACTCAACATCCCTGTCGTCGGCACCGATTGTTACACTGCCTCCTTGTTTTCCCTTTTTTGTTGTCGGTATAATAAATTAGGCCACACGCGATCATGAGTTGGATCACCGGAGTGATGAGTTTATGGGTCGGGTGCGTCGCTTCACTCTGAGTCAAATCAATACCGAGGGTTTGCAGCACCCTCTTGTGCTGGCAGCCCGCCGACAAAGTGTTAGTTTGTCATCCGCGGGAATTGGCGAGGACGGCCGTCTCTCCTCGCAGTACCGTCTCGGCGGCATCGGATGTCTGGAGGAAGAACCGGAAGAATCGGTAGATGATGACGATGAATCCGAACATAATCGATAATGTGACTTTAGTAGTTGCATGCAAGCGTGAGCAGTGTGTTGTTCCCTGGTGTATACATCCTCTTTCTACCCACCCGTCAGATTTTTGTTGTCGTTTTTTATTTATCTTGTATCTCTGGCGCATTTACGTTTGTGTTTTTACTTCACAAACCTCTTCCTCCTTTTCACCCACCAGATGAACACAGTAAGTGTACAAATTAGTACATATGTTTAGAGTACATATATACATATATGTATATGCAACATTTTACTATCAAGTCGTGTTGTGGATCAGAATATTCCGGTGGCTTTTCCCCTGTTTGCATGCTCCTTCCTTCCTCTCTTTGCTCACGGTCAAGTCGAGAGCGTGATTAGTATGTGTATCTACTCTTATGATGCCGAAATATATGCGCACAGATTTGTTCCAATTTGATTCCAGTTACCAAGGTGAAGTGTCGCGTATTATTGGCGGAGCCATTTTAACGCTCTCTAAGTGGAAGCAGATATTGATTTTTCTTAATATTGAGCGTCAATGATTGTAATGTAAATACGATGCAATCCAAAATGTGAAAAATGTCTTTTCCCAACTGCAGGTAAAGGCTAGGCTTGTACATCGCATTTATGAAATCTGTTTGCAGTTTTATAGTTCTCTTTTCATGTTTTCCTATAAGAATATGATTAAACAATTGAGCCAGCATTGATAAATCGCCTATTTTGTGAAAAAGATTCGCCATTTTTAGGATCCTTCAGACTTTTTCTCCAAACATGTTGATTTCTGTTCCCGAAGTCATTGTTATTAGTCCAGCCAGTAACGCGCTTTTATGATTGTGGTCCGTGGCTTTTATTGCATTTTTTTACTACTATGTACGAGATCGCCTTACTCGTCCGAGTTGTTTAGCGATCAATATGTATATCCCCGATTATTGAATTCGCACGTTGTCCGTTTAAGTGATAAACAGTTGCAACTTTTTGCGTGCTCCACAATGCATACCTCAAACTTGACTGCAGCTCGCATTGTAGGCACATTGTAGGCCTCGTTGCATTCATTTTGGGCGATGAAGAGCAAGAGAACGTAACTTGGTGGTCCGCACAGAAGTGCACTACACCTCTTGGCTAACTAACATCTAATAAGCTCTCTCTCTCAAGCCTACTGTTGGTTTATACAAATGCCACAGTACATATCACGTGCTCAATAGCTTAAAACAGGACAGTTTGCAAGTCAAGATAATTTCAAATAGTTTTATTATAAACTGGGAACTCTATGTTTCAACTCTCTTGATTGTTTAAGTGTAATTGTCTTTAATCGTTTAGGATACATTCATCATCTATAGTTTCTCGCTATTCCTAATTTCGCTTTTTTAAGTCACCATCCGTAATCTGTAACTAGCTAAGCAGACAGGCAAATTGGTGCCAAATTTGTCTTGTTACCCTAATGTTGCGTTTTTAACTACTTCATTTTTGTTATTTGCTTATACTCCTGCTACATGGCTTACTAAGGTTTTTCTTTTAACTATATCAGATTCTTCCTATAAAAAAACGTAAATTCTGCCAACCAGAGCACATGACTTACGTGTTCTACATTAGACATTTCTAGGTTTGCAGTGACTGTCAACGCAAATTAAGGGATAGCAACTTGCCATTAACAAAGAGATTCGTGAATCGATGTTGCCTTGTTAAGTATATTTTATTCTAATTTATTCATTATAGACTATTCTATCTGTCAATCGGTAACCGCTGGGAAAACCCCTCTGGGTCTAGTTTCAATTTTGCTAATGACCCACCCATTCATGTTGGAAATTAATCTTTTTGTAGTTGCTACCATTTACTTTCCGATTCTCGGTTTGTCATCCGTGACATTAGATTCTAGCGGGTTTTTTCATTCAGATATACAAAAATGTTATTTTGTGTCGTATGTGAAATTCCTAATTCAAAATTTGGAGTAGCGAATCAAAATGTATCCCTCAATCTTTTTATGCAGATTTTGGATTGCAGTTCCTGAGTGGTTTCGAGTTAACTATGTTAAAGGTTATTGATGAGCCTTGCTATTTGGCTGAATGTATTGTCACTATCAACATGCTAGACTGCCAGTCAAAACAGTAAACTTTGGATTTTGTTTAAGTAATCTAAGGTGGTCTCAAACATTGCACCAAGTGGACAATTTCTGTTAGATAGAATTTGGAAGGATCGGTGTAGTTTAGCCGACGCACTTTCTGGTTCCTCTCAGGTGACACGATCTCAACATGGACGAAGTGAAAAATGGATTTGCTCGAGTCCTTTCGAGGTGTGCATTTGTAGATCTGAAGTCTCTACCTTCATTCTTTGCATTGCGTGGCGTGACTAAAAGGCGGCATATATATTTTTTCCTACCTTGATGTCGATGCAGCCATTCGCACCGTTGCAATTCATTGTCTCCACCATCTGACAACATAAGTCACCGGATTCGATATCGTTCGGCCACAAATTCTGGGACTTCATCGAAAGAAAAAAAGAGGTAAAGATATGAAGAAGACGTTGATAACTGGTGTTTTGGCTACTAGCTTCACTATCATAGTGCAGCGAGTCTAGCTTTGAATAGCGTGGAAGTGTGTGTTCTGGTATGACGATCGTTTACGCTGGTGACTGTCTTCATTAGAGAATCGTGAACATGCTCTATTACATGTTCGATTACTAAAAGCGGTACTACGACGCAACCTATTGATAGCTGAAAGCTTTCAGTGTGCAAGTGTATGCAGTCATGCCCACCGGAGTCGTTGCATTTCCTCCATCATTTCGAACGTAGCAGGGTTCACCATCTGTCCATCATCCGTTATACCCATTAAGGCTGAATCAAAGATGAGCGTGCCCAAATGAAATTCCACTATTTACTATGCAAAACTGAGACCTTTATAAGCTAATTTTGTCTCTAGGCAAAATTAGCCTTAATTTACTTGAACTACTAAATGATAAGATGTTTCGACGCGCGAGTTATTTCGCCAGGTGCGATTTTGGTTTAAATATCGATGTGTGAAAAGTTAAAAATATTACACGTCCGGCCTCTTTTATCTCAGATCCTGTAGTTTCTACTTTCCAAGCCACTATCCTCGATCTTTGTGTACAGTTGCGTTTAAATTTGCAATATTAAGGAAGTGTTGCTTGCGTGTTGCTTATGCTATTCGGGCACGATTACTATCAATTCAATACCTGCTTAAGCTAATTCCGTTGGAAATTAGCTGTTTCAGCTTACTCGTCTTCACTACTGGACTTTCCCAGCTATGTGATTTTGGTCTCAAGTTAGATTTTGCATTCTTTAGTATAACTAATACTTTGCCTCTGTTAAAATGATATCTGGGTATTTCGATTTCAACTCACATCTGCGACTCAAAATTGGTCGTTTAACTGTGAAAATGCATCAGCGACCGGAAATTTGGCCATTATTGTGTAACGGTAGTCGCCTTAAAGAAGCAGCCTTCAGTGGGCGCACTGGAGTCTCATTATCAGGAAAAGAAACCCATGGAATTTGCCTAGCCTTGTGACGTTGCTTTTTGTCCATAAAAAAACTGAAAAGGAAAGGGGTTCGTCAATCGAGGCGACGCATCCCTTGGTTGAAAGCTCGAATACTGTACAAAAAATCTAGTAATCACTGTGCAATTAATGGTTGCACAGTAGACTTGATTCGGGGCCGCTCTAAAGTAGCCTCCTCCGTCTTCGGATTGGCGTTGTGTGGTTAGTGATGTGATTGTTAAATTACATCAGTTGACCTAGTGCCCTCGATTTACACGTTAGTGGATTGGTCCGCAAAACAAATCTAAACTACTTTGGAAATGCCATTATTTATATTCCCTTTCTTTTGTGAGAGTGTTGCTTAGGCCAGTGTTATTTCATTTTTATTTTATTTTCCTTCACACACGTCAAAAAATTATCTGTGCGAACACTTTCTTTGCCCTGGTGGTTCGACAGTACAATCGGGACCAACACTAAGCAGTGTATGTAAAATTATTAATGGGTCGATTGGCCTGCCAGCATTTCGCATGGATACAGAGTTGTAGCTCAAACGCAACGCGTGTGTGGTTGCGCGATTGCCCGTGAAGTGTAGATCGGGAAGGCGCTCTTCTGAGCGTTATCTGGTTCACTAGCGCTAACCTAATTTCGTTGCCACCGTAACACATAATTTAAATTTTCTTGTCTTGATCCCTGGTGAGAGGACACTAGCACTGCAGAATCCGGAGCGCTTTTGCAAGACTGTTTTCGTGGTTCTCTTATAATAGTGGTCACCATCACTATTCCTGTCAACAGTTTACGTGGTCCCTAAAGATTTAGACAATCGGTAACTTTGGTGACTGCTCAACATCTTAAAACTCCTAACCCACTTGCGCTACTCTTTTACTAACTTTCTGCACATTCATTGACTTGGCCTCAGATTCTGCATCAGATCGGGTTTTACCTTTATATATGCGGGGGGGGGGGTAAGAACAGGCAGAATCAGTTACGCACATAAAGGAAGAGAGTGGAAAGGTGGCACCTTCGGTGATGTTAGATTGATTAAATCAAAAGGGCTTATTAATAGCTTTCTCTTCGACATCGCTCTTCACGTTTCCATGTCTACCTTTTTCCCTATTTCTGACGGATAAAATTTAAACCTGCGTAGGAGGTCCCACCAATGCTGTTGTCGACTGACTGGTATGTGCCGTTTCCCTTGACATGCTTGTGGTTATTTGCCCCATCCATCGCAAACTGCTCGTATTTCAACTGTGTGTATGACCGTAAGCGTAGTTTTTAATCCCAAAGTGGGCTGAAAATTGGTATTTTGCTGAAATTGTACTCTGCCCAAATTTGATTTATAGTTCTAACCGATACCCACAAATAATTAAGATTTTTTAAAAATTTTCATGAAAGTCGATTATTAATTAAGGTTCCAGGTTGTGTCGTAGTGGCAACTTGCACGTTTTTCCAACTGTTATGTGTGACAACTGGAAGCCCTGAGAGGTAGCAAGAAATCGTATCCATTTACTCTCGCAACCAGTAAGAATTCAACTTTGTTTAGTTCTCAGGAAGGCTGCTTTTTTACGGTTATAATGTCACAGCTTTTGTCGTTGCATGTGTCGGTTTTTTACTTCAGCTTATGAACATTCTTCCTAACTATTCCATCTTTCTCGTTTCCAAATTTCCGTAATAAGATATTATACTGTTGTGTCCGATTCCATAGTTGCTCGGGGTTTTCTTCTAATCAGGCCGTAGATAGTTGTACATGAATTTAATATTTGCTAATTTTTCCTATTGCTATTGAAAGTCAGGACCAACCAGTACAAAAGGGATTCACTCAAATAACTTAAGGTTCCGTAATACTGTACCTTTATTATTTTCTAAAGGGTATGCACACGCATAGTTGTAGTTATGGCAACGTCCGATCTCGAGAAAATGAGGTACGAGGTTATTAACTGGGGTTTTCAATGAGGCGCCTACGCGTTTAAATACTGAGTTTCCGGTTCACTCAACTTTTTTACATTCTTTCTCTTGCTGGGTTCAGCCAAGCTACTCTGTTGCTAAGTTACCGTAGCTTGTTCCTCGCCAATTGTTGCAATGTCCCTTTTTTTCTTTTTCTTTCTGCTCCACGCGCTTACCAAGGTACATTTACTTCGACAAGTTTCGATTCATCAGTTTCCTCAAGCCTTTTTTTATAATGAAGATGATTTTTTGCAAACTTGGGGAATACATTTATTGGCTGCCAGCTTCTATTTGCGATGTGGAAAATTGCCGAAAATGCAACGTGTCAGATGTGTGCACGTGAACGCACGCTGCCAACCTACCAACTTTAAGGCAACAGTTAGACGGATGCTTGGCCGTTCACGCACGCGCGTCGTCGCAATCGATGCGTCGACGAGGCAACGCCGCACGGCAACGCGGTGCTCCTCCTCCTCCACCTACGAGGCGGCGGCGGTCGCAGAACCAACCGCGCGCCTCATCGCCTCAATTTCTAGTCAGCTGTGCCCTCCTAGGGCAGCTTCTAAGCCCTTCCTCTTTTCACGCTTCTCACAGTCCTCTGGCCACTCTTCCTCCACCTCACCTGCAACTCCCATGTCATGGATTCCTAAATGCTGACATCCATTTTGACTTGTCGCATAACCTTCATCCTTAGAATCAATTCAATTTAGTGTGTTAACATCGGCTAACCACTTAGTGCTTTTAGAAAAAAAGTGCATATTTCATTTCTGAGGCTCTAAACCAGACCGTTTTTCATCTCTTTCCCGCTTGAAAGCCACCAACGTTGATGCCCAGAATTACTCTTCGGTTTGCATAACTCGCGAAATGTTAGCCTAGTCGTTTGTCTAACTGATACATTCTGTTTTCATTTCTAATTCGAAATCTGAATTGTCGACTTCGGGGTCTCTTACAAGGCTTTTATGAAAACCAATTCATGGGAAAATTAAAAAACCATCTATTCACGTCAATCGCTCTCCATATTTCACACCCACACCAAAAACCTCTCAAATCATTAACAGAATAACCGCGAGAAAGCCTGAGGTAGTGACTTTTTGCTTATTTTCTGCTTCGGTTCCCGTATTGGTATCGGTAAATGTCTGCATTGAAGCTCCCTTCCTGCACTAACCCGGAAACGCTGCCTCATACTTTCTTGCACACTAAAGAACAAGAGTACCCTTCTTAACCGGCGTAGGGGATGCGTCTAGCTTCGTGTACGTCGTAATTTTGCGTCGTGTTGCTCCACCTTTGCTATTAGTCGGCGTTCACAAATAATTGCTATCACCGGCGGTTGGCATTCTGCAGCCAAACTTTTAGCAGGAGGGATTTTCCCTTCCCCGAATCCTAAAATGACTCGCCTTTTTTCACGCGTTTTGTGCTATCTACCCGCACTGCCGCAAGTCGAGAAGTGGCGGGCACGAAGTTTTGGATTGAGTGGTGTGCAGATGCTTCCTCCGCGCCACCGCGAGACTAGAAAAAAGTGCATTCCGTTTGTCTTACTGAATGTGTGTGCGCAAAAGAACCATTTGCCCAGATTTTGCCTTTCTCTGGCTTTATCACGAAAAATTCTTTCTGTCGAATGTGCGCACCATCCCTTGCTTTAAGAAACACTCGGCTCGTCTGGTCGAGTTGATCGTGTAACTGAGATTTGTGAAGAAATTAAAGCCAGAGAAATAGTATGCATATGTCAAAGCTGTTCCGAGTTGTGAAAACTACTGCTGCAATTACGAACCATATCGCGCGACGGCTCGGGGATACTTTTTTGGTTTCATATCAACAATTGAGAACTCACTGATCCACTTCAAGTTCAGTTCATAGTAGAGGCGAAGGATCAAGCCACGAGTTATTAAATGCGACGCGGACCATCAACCCGTACTGTAACATCGTTCGGGAGTCCATCAGTCACGCCTTTATTGCCTTGATATTTTCGACCAGTACACGATCAAGGAGTCTCTCCCTGTGCGCAGTGGATAAAAGTGTTCTGTCCGAAGTCCTTTTTCAAAACTTCTAACACGCGGCCAATTTATCTGATTAAACATCCAGTTTTTGCTAGATGGAAGTTTTGTTTCAAGCGTTTCCCCTCTAGTACTCGTAGTGATTGCCCCATGGACATTTAAGCTTACAAAATGTTGACATTTTCATTTTAAACTTCAAATCATACATGATTATGCGCTGATGTTTTTGAGTGGCAAGTGTAGTGTATTCTGTGTGTTGGGGCTTATAAAATTAAGGCAAACGCAAAGGCTTTTGTTGAATACTTATTATTTTGTCTCTTTCGGGCAGCCTAAGCCGTTTAGCATCTTGTGATCTCTCCCTCTATCTAAAGTAGTGTGCAAAAATGTTTAGATTTCGGAGCATAGGATATATACTACCAAAAGGTCGCTGTAACATACTGGAAATCCTATGCTATTCATATTACATTTCCTCATTGGTCTTAAAATTTCTGAATTCCGATGGCACGCGATTCCAGATGAATTACATGACGATTACTTTGGATTTTCGGATAGTCTAAAACTCTCCATCAAGATCAGGACATCAACTTCACACCCTAGCAGTTCTCAATAGTGTGGTTTCACCGACTCCTAGGTTCTGTTAGTATCGGATTGTGTGCTGATGCAGTCGCACAAATCTTTCCAGCTTTCCATGTTTTCTTACTTGATGATTGCCTCGTTTAAAAATTACAGCGAATAAAGGTTTCCCACCACCATTTACTATTTAACAGTATTAAACCCAGTGCTTTTCAAACATGTTCAGTTGGTGCCGCCATGTACTACCATATTTCCTAATTTCGTTACCATTAAATTAAGTGCCAGTGCCTAAGAATGTAGGTAATACGAATGTAGACTTTAGAACAATTTATTTCATCGCTAAAAAGTGTAAAGGGAGGAAATCTATAACTTACTGGGTGATTTATTACTGGGCTGAATTAAGAAACGAAAAATGGGATGTTTAATTGGGACTATAAATATCTCTTAGCAGGAAGTTTTGGGTTCGCGCGTTGCGGTTGGTCGTGTTCGCGCATTAACAGTGCAAACTTCAATTTTTCTCATTTAACGTTCATTTCTGCGTTTTGGAAAATTGGTGTTGAACCATTTCCTCTCGAAATTGATGCATTCTAATTGGTGAGTTTCCGTCCCTTGATTGAAGACAGTGAGTTGTGTGAAGTCGTGGAACGTGTGTTCTTTGACCGTGCAAGCTGCAGCCTCGTGTTGTCATCGTGATTGCCCTCTACATGCCCCGGCCACATCAGAAGCGGCCTCGCACATTTACCTGAGACACTGTCGGCTTCGTAGGCTTCAAGATCCGACATTGATTACTTGGTTTTGTGCATGTCGGGCCTCTCAACGTGCTAGATGGCAAATATGCAACATAATGGATGAGCCAACCGCCGCTGACTGTGCTTTGTCTTGGCTGAGTAGACTCCAGAGGTGTCTGATCCCCATCAAAAGGGACGTATCCTTTCTTTGCTGACTACTGCATGCTTTATGTTTGCATGCATTAACGTAAATACGTCCGACTGTTTTCTAAGCCAAAACGTCCCTTGAAACCCTGGTCAATTTTATTTGTGCACCCCGTAGACATCAGTTTTTGCTAAGTCGATTACTTGTTTTTAAAATGCGAGTTATATAATACTATTCCCCCAACATTTTTGATGCCTTCGTGTTTTCGCTGCATTGAACAGCTGTTTTAGTGGAAACAAACATTTTCGAGAAGTGGTGACACGCGGACTTTAATGCATATATCAGTGATCCCGGAAGTGATTAACGCTTTGCTAGACATGGGGCTAGCACAGTCTTGCCCTCTCCTGATGCTTACACATTCCTCACTGCTGTTGGTGTTGGTTGTGTAACCTACCTTCTTGATTCTCTGACTTTATTTAGTTGAGGACGTTACGGCAGCCACGCATAGTTAGGAGTGGGTTCGTGGCACATTTTAACTCCAATGAAGAAACCAATGTATTTTTTTCCACTTTTTAACTACCAGGTCACGATTTCTGTTTTGGCATAAAGAAAGTACAACTTTGCGTTTCAAATTAATAAAATCGATCTTAGTGTTTTTTATGTGGAATCGACATGTCCACGGTAAATAGTCGGCACGAGGTTTGTTTTGTGCCGGCCGCACCTTCGCCACTCCCTTCTCCCAGTGTCTTTTTGCTATCCGCATGATCTCTGAAGTGCTTTGTGTTCCTTCAGAACAAATATACTGTGGTTGTTGTTTATGTAATCCGGTACACATTTAGGAAAGAGGATTTAGTCCTATGTGAAGAGTCGTTTGTAGCTGCAGTAATTTCTTTATTTTGAGATGTTCAGTAGTTCAGTTTGATCGGCTTATGAAACTGACCTTGTCGTTGTTGCCTCTATTTTGCTGTGTTGTCGATCAATCTTTCCTAGTGCCAAGGTAAGTTTGCACTTTTAGGGTAAATTAACTGACTAAAATGTTCGTTTTGTTGTTAACACAGTCTCATGAGTTTGAGTTTACTCTATTCGCAAATTGCTTTAATTCAGCATAGAAAAGAGGATGTCAAAAATGTAACAAGTCCACTGGTAACTAAAAAGGGATGGGGTCGGTACTGCTCTTTGTCGGTGACAGTCGACTGTCTCTGGTTGGATTTGATTTCAAGTGGACGATGAGCACTGTTGATGGTTAATTTGTAGCCCGCCCTAACAAATGGCATGCTGGGGGATTAACACTGTCGTCGCCACCTTGCATTTCTCTCTTAATAACGAAAGGTGACATGTGCGGCCTTTACGGAAGGGCTTCAGTCGGCGTGGTTCCTCTTGCTGCCCTGAGCACAGACACGCGTCAAATTGAAGCTTGCCGCTAACCAATCGGTGATTGGTCACGCTGAACACGTTATCAAGCCACACCCTGTCAAACTTTTAGCAGTCTCTATGCCCTTACTGCATTGGCTCATCGGTTATAAATAGCCGTAGGTATATGCGTCCTTATCACACCGCCAACTCTGCTTGAAAAGTATTACACCGAAGGGAGCGTCTGTGGTCTGCCTTTGTGCGGACGCAGTCTTTCCGGGGCGCGGCGACCACACCGCTTGCAGGCGCAACCATGCAAATGCTTTCGCCTTGACTTTTTACGGCACGAGCAAATTTTCTCATCGGCCTCTACAATCATCAAAAAAATTGACTTTCACTGCTTGTATAAAAGGGGGAGACGAGTGTGTATTAATTCAATTCTCTTTTGTCAGTTCTTGTGTTTCTGAGTCGCCCTGGTTGGGTTTCGTCAACGTTTCTTTCTTGCATGGTCCCAGTGCTGGGAAGGCGGCACAATTTCCTGTGCCTTAGTCTCTTTAACAAGGAGACGTTGAAGTGGTTTTCACTGACTTTATTTACCAACTTGTGCTATCAAATTCATCGAGTATACAAGCTGCTATTGGTACTCAAGGCCATGGTTTATTTGCCTCAAACACAAAATCTGAAGGCACCTCTTCTATATTTGGGGGTTACTCAGAAAAATTGTTCTTTGAGCATAATTTATGGTCGCTCGTGCGATTTGTTGTCGGACATAAACAGTGGAAGTGTAACGTGAAGGTATGTCCTCGAGCGGCTGTGGTTTATAGCCGAGTGTCGTCGTGAGATGTGTTTAAGTCAAAATCCCTTTTCTGAATTACAGAGCTGGTTGAGTTTGCATTTTATATCTGGCAATCACTAGGCTGCATGCGTTACCGATTCACAACAAGAGTGTCTCTCATTGATTTCATACCTATCCCAACAATCGTCCTGCTGCATTAGCGCACTGAATGTGTTCCAGCTAGAAATGATTTGGAGTGGCACTACTTTTGACTCTCGATTTGATGGTTCCTAAGATTGGCCATCGCATAACCCAAGAGATATTTTGTAATTTGACAGTTTTATTTCTGGGTCGTGCTAATTGCCGAACCGCAAATGCGCCCATTAGTGTTGGTAAGAAAAGTTCACGGCTCCAGGGTCAAAACTGATCCCCCTTCGTCGTTGAAGATTTTATTACCTCAAGGCCACTGGCACAACTCTTGTGACTTTTGACTCTTCAATTACCGACTATTTCTTCGAAGAGATTTGAACTTTTAGCTCTCTGTCCCAGCTTCCATCGATGGTCATCGCACTAAGTTTGGGACTACTATATGCTGCTTTTAGGGCGCCCCGCTCCTCACTTAGAGGTGTAATTCGCCTGCTTTTCTGTGAACCAAGCTGGTACCATTCCACCCAGTGTTTTTGCAAACAAATCCTGATGCTGTTTTCTGGTATTTTACTATTGGCACCACGGCAGTGTCTGTGCTCGTGACATGTAGTAAATCGCGTGAATCTAAACTCAATCCGAACACAGTGCCACCAATTATTATTTAAATATGTATTTAATCTAAGTTTCTGATAAAGGATGCTTGGTATGCTCTTTCTGTCATTCATTTTTGTTTACACGAAACGGTTAATATCAGAATTGTTGATTTTTAAGTAGCTGTTTCTATCGGCTCTGTTTTAATGTTTTAAATTTCAGGATCAACTGTGTAACGTGATAGTCAGAGAAAACTACTATGCAACGCTGTATTGATTACTTGGATTAGTTAGTGCGAGTTAATAAATGTAAAGGGTTTTTGCAGACTCAATGATAGCCCACCCGGCTAGGGTCTGATATTTCCGTTTTTTCGTGTCCACTACCGCGGCATCCTACTTACTCCTTTAACGTGGCCATAACTTGTGTGCAACCCGCCCATTTCAGTTAAAGGCTGTCCACGCCTTCAGAAACAGTCTGGATGACTCGAGTGAGCGTCAACACATCGCCATGGCGCTACATCAACAGCGTCAGGCCAAATGTCGTGAAGTTCGCGCCGCGTCTTTGGCTCAGCAGCTTAATCAGCACATAAAGTCGCCAAGTAGCACCCGAATGGCTGATAACATCCGAGAGTTCTACCGAACTCCCACGATGCTAGCAGAAGACGAACCGCTCTTCTCCGCAGATCAACCCAATCAGGAGAAACTGGAAGAGGGTGGAGGCGGTGATATTTGGGGGGCTGCCTCCCTGGATGACCCCAGCACGACGAGTTACGATGTTAATAGTCTGGCGGATGACTCTGGCGCGCAAGAGTCTCAGTTGCGGCCTACTACAAACGAAGCGTTTGCGGACGGGTATCATTTTGACCAGCATACTTCTCTATGGATCCCCTCAGAGGAGGATCGCCGAACGCCAACCCTGCCTTGGACTTCGTCGCTCGATGCAGACACATTAGTAGACACCGGTCCCTCGACTTCGACAAATCGACGCCGAAAATCGACGAAAACGACTCCCGCGCCACCACCTCCACCCACAAAGAGAATACAGGCTCGGAGATCCTCTTCCGGCTCCTCCACATCCTCTCTAACATAGTTCAGCCATCCACAGTCATTGATACTTACTATGCAAGCGTCGTTTTCATTCCACAGAAAGACATATGTTATGCATGCCAGTAGCAAGAGAGAGTGTGCCCTTGTGTGTGTGCGTGTGTGTGATTATATAGACCGTCTCCCATAGAGAAAGCGAATATCACAGACCACTTCCGCTCCTCGCTACTCATGATGCCCTCGAACTCATCGACAACGAAGTAGCAAGCGATAACGGCAAGTGAGTATGACATGTCATCGGTGGCTGCTCGCAGTACGTTGTGACTCGTACTTTGATGTGTGCATAGCATGGCTCAGCATGGTCCAGCTTGACGTTATCATTGCACTCAAGTACCATTTTTTGTGGTCCTTTGCATGGTACTAGGCCTTTGATCCATGTTTTCGGTTGAAGATTTGATGCGAGTAAAACAAATCTCTACTTCGCGTTAGTGCGTGTGAAAGAATTTCACTGAATCTTCTTTGTGGTTTGATGCCGCGATCTGCCGAAACAAGCTGCTCGATTTTGTATCTATGTTGTAATGATCGTTTTGTATTTTTCGCTGTCAATTGTCACTTTGTTCACTTCTTTTGGGTGCGATCTTCTTTGCACGGTTGTCGTTGTTCTGCAGTTTTGGAACGTGGTCAGGGTTTCCCTTGCTCCGGCGTTTCTTCTATAATGTAGCGAGATGACTTCAGCATGTCCTTCTTAACTTGAGACCGCTTCAACGTAACTTCGCATGCGTCGCCCGCCGTCTCAGTATACCAGTAACAATTACAGTAACAGTACTGTGATGCCTTTTCTTTTTTTTGCCTTGTTTGTAGCTTCGTGTAGTCGACGCATTCAAAGCAAGCCTTCCAAGCCGATTGGCCGGTTTGAACCGCGAGAGCGTGACCTCATTGCATCGCGCAATGACTACGTGCACTAAACAACCCTCGCTCACCTCCTTGAATTCTGAGGCTGACACCTTGCCCTCCCAGCCTGAACCCCCGGCTTCCCAACTGCGACCAAGCCCCTCCCCTGGGTTTCATTATCCAAAGGCTCCTCCATCACCCCGGCCCCTTAGTTGAGGCTCATTCATTAGTGAAGACAAGTGGGCTGATAGACGAAGATGTAAACACTTGCGGGCATTCTGAGGGCTTCCTCTAATCCCCTTCCCCAGTTACTCATACGATTCTGTGATCAAACCCGTTTTTTATTATCTGCTATTTTATTACCTACGAGACGATGGAGAGTAGAGCCGTTAGTCCTCATTTCACCCACGCATGCGCCCACAGTCGCCTCACTCTCGCACGCTAGCATCCATTGCCTTGGTCTCAAATGAACTCACAAAGTTGATACTGCCACATATATCTTCTAGTGTAGGGCAGTTTCCCACAGCTACAAGTGCAAGTATTTTGTTAATTACACTCATTCCTTCCCTCCTATCGTTTATATTACTTACATTGTACACACTCGACCTATTATCTACAATATCCAACTAGATCAAGGTGCTCAAGTGACCATTACAACTACAGTTTATATTCACTAGAAGTGATGTGTGAATCTCCTCTATCCCACTCCCTTTAACCCACTCCAATTTCCCCCCCCCTAGATTGTTTTTGCGCGCGGTGTTCGCATCCCTCCCCTCCCTTACTGTGGCCTCGCCTGTTAGCCGTTAATTAGTTTGGAGTTTCTCTCTCCGTCCCACCCACCTCGTTCCACCTGCTTTATTTTGAGCTCTACAAATCGCTGTCTCTTCTTTGTGTGAGCAAAAGCAGAAGAGCTGCATACAATTATCGTTTGAAACCAGCAATTGGAATAAATTTCATCTATGTTCACCGATGAGTGCTTTCTTTTCGGGGATACAATCCATTTGGAGTAGCGAGATTAGCTATGCGCGCTGCGGAATAGCTTTCAGGAAAAGAGTGTTTTGTCTTTAATGAGAGTTGGTTTCGCAGACAAATCATCGCTTATGGATTTTATTAATGAGCTTCTATGCATTCTAAACCCGAAACTGTTGAATTATTCAACTCGGTAGTTTGTACTTTCTATGACTCTACTTGAAGGAGAGAATGATTTGTTTTCTCAACTTCGTGGCTACTCGATCCTTCAGCATGGAGAAAGCCTCACCTGGTGGTAATTGGCATTTGTCAACAAAGCATTATGGATACGTTTTTTGATTACCGATAGACATTTTGCTCGGTATTATCTGGTGCGGAGCTAATTGAGCGATCCCTTCAATGGCGCTGCTCATTGTATCGATTATCGTTAACAGTATACGAGTTATTTATGGGACATAGACGAAGCCCCAAGTTAAAAGGTTTTCATATTGGCCCCCTTTAACCATCCAATGCAAAACGAAGTTTTTGACGTCCAGTAGTGAAAATCGTCACCTGTAACTTTTACCATAGTTTCAGTCGAATATATTTAAGAAAAAAACGTCACAACTACGTTCATCGTCTAATCGGTACATCTTCATTGTGAAAGTTTCATGCAACTGCTCGTTTAACTAGATTGAAGCCAGAGTATATATTGCAATGGACTTCCGAAGGTTCTTTTCGGGGATTAATGTTCGAGACTTAACAAAGTAAAATAGCTTGAACTCATTGTGAAACAGCATATTGAAGGCGTTATCGGAGAACCAGCCGTCGATGTTTTCATAGGGATCAATCACTAGCCAAATAAACAAATTCGGACTCTCTGCACGAAGGGTTACCTCGAACACCTGTCGGTATTGGAAGGGAGGTCTTGGGACTGTTGAAGGTGCTGATTTAACCCGCTTGACTGACTTTACCTCCACATATCCTGCTGTCTTTGGCCACAATGGTGCCATTTCCTTGGGAGTGCGCAAAAGTGCCGTGTCATTTATCTGCACTTGACCATTGTCTATACTTGTACTGAGAACACCAAATGGGCACTTTAAAAGTAACCACGTTACGTTGAACTTGACAACTTCAAAGGGACATCTGTCTGGACTCCACGGGCTACTGTCCTCAGTTTCAAAAATGACTACGGGCGCAAGTCTGAAGGATTGAATAGGGGCGCATACAACTCGGAGGCGTATTCGCTTCTCGACAATGGGGTTGACTGGGGGTACCCAGGTGACCAGTATTTGTCCCTTTACCCGGGACACAATGATTCGTCCTATGGGGTGCCTCGACGACGCAGTTCCCCTGATGGCAAGGTAGTGGGCAATTTTCCACTGGCCGACAGCATCGATTGTGGACCACGTTAGTGCTGCCCACACATCGTTGAGTTGCCAGTAGAGGTGACCCATTGACCTACCCTGGCCCTTTTGCTGCCCACCGCAGTCGCTGCTCAAAGCGCTTCCCGAAATAGTGCACTGATGACGCTCCAGAAGGTTTATGTACGTTTTGTAGGCGATTGCTTGGTAGAGCTGCGTCAGATATGCCCACCTTAAACAAGCAAACCACAAACAATCAATCGCAATTTTTATAAAAAGAAGAAGTTCTTTAATGACGCTACAGCAGCTGAAGATGTTGAATTGAATCCACGGTTATTAATTTTTTGACCGTAATTTCAATCATATATTACACAACTTGAGCGCTTCCTACTGGCCAAAATGGACTTTATTTCCACAGGGTCTGTTTACTGAGACGCTTTATGTCTATGTCAATGACTCAAAATAAACTTACGAGGCACTGTTTTACCACACAAATATGTTTTAATTATTCCCATTCCTAGATTTGCCCTGGGTTCATGGTGTTTCGTAAAGTCTGTTCGTCTTTCTCCCCACCACACTACTAGATGTTAGAAAATGTAATTGTATCTGAGTGAGCCAACACAAAGCCCATCAATTCATGTTAGGAGAACCAAATCACCCACCAGTACCAGTTTTACTTCTCATGGTGGGAAAGCGCGGCATTTATCTGCTGGTTGCATTGAACTTCAGAAGTCTCACTACCATTGCTTTTGAGTGATTCAGGGTATTCTGCTTACTTTGTATTTTCTCCCCTTGACGTTAGCGATCAGAATTTTCTCCTTCAAGGTTACTCAGCGGTTCAACTGATCGTAATCTCAAAGCTTCAAAAATCTTAATACGTCTTCTGGAGGTTTTAATGCGTCGCAATTTTGCGTGCGAGAAAGCCTCGTATTGAACGCGCGAGCAGTTCCGTAAGGCAGACACCCAGATTCGCCCTGCCACGGTAACTGGAGGCAAATCTCACCAAAATTCATGACATTTTTTATGAACTTTTGCACGTTTATACTAAAGACACAAAAAACACCTTGCAGATTTGGGAATTCGAGAAGAACCTTCGAATAATGGAACAAAAATGACCACTGATTATCACATATGTATATGGTAGCAGAGGAACTTTTGATAGACTTTATTTATGCATTCTAATACTTCTGCTAACTCTACCCTTTACATATGTTCAAGTTATCTCAGATTAGAATGGTAGGAACTCGTGAGGTAACTAACGTTTAATTCTGATAAAAGTTTGAAACAAAAAATTGTAACTGCATTAAACAATGAAAGCTCACTCTAACTACAGGAACCTAACAAAATGTCTTTAGATTTTCAAAAAAACTACATTTTAAAAACTCCTTGGTCTTTTTTCGGGACTAAGCAGTCGTGTCAATGGTGTAACCTTTTAACTTAGTACAATGTCGTGCTTTCTGGGTGAAAGTGCAAAAGCTGGTGCTCAGGGCATGAAAAGGCTTTATTCATGTCAATTTAAAGCAATTCACACAACAGGCCAAACTCACAGTGTGTAGCTCTCTTGACTTGTGAAGCTGGTTCTCGGTTCGCCAAATTTCTCCCTCACAAGCCTCTCGACGATGTCGATGCCATCGATTTTGTGCAGTCTGTGCATCATTAGCCGACCACGAACCATCCAGTCGTCGTGTTGACTGTTGTTGTCGAACGACCGCAACCACGCTAACGGACTCGGCAAGGACATGATCCCGTATTCAGATGTAAAGCGGCTGACTGGGTACGAACATTCGTCCCAAAGGTCAGCGTAGTACGAGTAAAAGTGAACATCACCAGAGAGTGGGTCCTTGAATAATAAAGTTGACAGGTGGGGAATTCAGGGATTGCATACTAAAATCTGGTGCGATCGTTTCATCCACTTTATCTTAAAATTTTGAAATATTTAGACCCTTTGACAATAGATTTTTGGTACAAAAGCAGGCTTAGGGGTTGCTGTTCTAATCAGGCCCTATTTTCTAAAATAGATGCTCATTTTTCTTGCACCAATTATCTTAAAACCAGAAGGTTTTAGATACGAAAACTATATACCATACCTGAGGATTGAAGTCAATTCCGTCGGTATCTGTGGAGGCATCAGCGTTGCTTGGAGACGAAAGGAGGACTTTTCGCGGGACATAGCCTGTGTTCGTAGTTGGCGGCCTCTCGTTTTCTACCATGATTGGGGCAATCGAGTCGAGAAATCTTCTGCGGTATTCAGCTTTATTTACTTTCGGGCCATACCAGCGCTGCGCGGCAGCCACTTCTACCTCGTTATTTGTGGCCCACACCACCACAGCTGGATGATGGTGCAGTCGCCGTACTTGCCATCGAATTTCCTGTTCCGCGCTATCCTGTCTGAAAATGAAATGTTACTCGAGAACCAAATCTGTCTGTGTGTCAACTCACTTGACTCGAAAATTTTTTTCATGGGACGAAATTCCGACTGACCAATCATAAGGAACGAGCGAAAGTGAATAGATTAGTGCTTTGATTTGTGCCCAATCCAGTGGTTACCCATTCGTCAAAGAAACCCGTGCGATTACACTTTGCTGTATATGGCATTAGACCCTTGATTTACTGATTGTCAGAAGAACAACCAAAGCGGGTTTTGCGGAAGTCGTTTGTACCCGACCGGTTACAATCTATGGAACGCTTAATTGCTGTGTGTGTTTGCTGTTGTAAAAGTTAAATTTGAATTAGATAATAATAAAACCATTCTCGCTGCTCGATCATAAAACGTCGAATGCGAGTCCCATGGGGTTTCCTGTCTTTAACCCAAAATAATACCAAATTAGTACCGAGTTATTGTTATGGTTTCGATGCTAGATCTGCCTCCTCTCAAATTACACATAAATAGGCTTTAATGCTACTGAAGCGCTGCGGCCACCGCACCAGTCGCTCAAGGGCATTCGTGTCGTGTCCTCGATCCACAAGTCGTCTGCTTGTGCCCCCACCGCGCACGCACAGAAGATACAATCTACGCCCATATGACAATCAAAAGTGCTGTCAGAATGGTTACTTCTATCAATAATTTGTCCGCGAACGCTCACCAAGTGTAAATAGTTGCCACTAATGACAATTAACCTTCTATCAGCCAATGGTGATTTGTTTTCACGTGCTCAAGCTTTTGAACCCTTTAAACAATTGGAGGTGAAAGCTTTAAAAATCGAACTTTGTTGGTTACCACAATAACAGAATTTAGGTACGATTGCCAGGTTTTGAGCGTAAGTCTGGAATGCATCCCGCCGGTTGTCGTCTCAAGGGCAATTTTCAACCGCACATTAATTCTACTCATACCGTAAACAGGCACTTGGCAATAGCAGTGTAGATCTAAAGCTACTGAACAAAAAGCCGTGATTACTGAAGTTTTTATCTAAGTCCGACTAGAATTGAAATCGAATACAAATCGAGGCTGATTTTCTGACTTTAGGCAATGTTTTCAGTAAACTCAGCTACCGTCAATGTCAACGTCTCCTGTGGTGTTTATTGTGGCTCCAAAAGGGATAGTTTTACAGTCACCCCCAAGTGTCACAACCTACAGACGTTTTTAACAATCTTGTGTGGTCTTTCAAATCAGCCGCCTTGTCAAAATCAGTCCGCAGTTTCGTTGATGGAGGTCGTCTTTAAGAGGTAAGAACGAAAGTCACTTCTAATTATCTGTCGTAACTTTTAACCAGACAAGCAACTCAGCTAAGTAAATTTACATATTGACTGGTTTAATCTTTTCAAAATGCTAAGTTAGCAGCAGCACCCGAGAAAATGCTCGTTGCGGCTGAGCTTGAAAATTGCGTCCCAGTTTGTTCCTATGCCAAAGGGTGACCGCAAGAGAGCGCATTTGCCTCTAGTAATGAAGAACCGGTGATCATTTATGTGGTCCCGTACTTTTGCCGCAAACTCTTTTAACAAAAATAGCGTATAAGTAGGATTTCCTTTCGTTGAAAAGCCGCATCATTAAACACATCCCTGATTCCACACATTTAACCGTCGATTGCAAAAAACACATAATAGTGGTGTAATGTTTAGGTGGTAAACATGTATGAGTCAAGAATAAAAAACGAATTCTCGTGTTCAGACCAACGTCTCTTTAGATTTTAATAATGTGAATTGGTAGACCCTTATCTGAATTTTCACAAAGGAAGGTCATAGGTTTATTTCCTAATCGCTCTCAAACCCGTTAAAATCAAGTTGGAAGATCGATGGGACAAAGGCACGAGATATTGCTTACCCTGATTTTTAAATGTACTTTTGTTGCCCCTTTTTACATGACTGACCTTAGTCTCAACGTTTGTAGTAGATGCACCAAGGCGATTTGGATCAACTTACTCTCCTTTCGGGGGTTTTTCGTACATGGAGCAAGCGAACATCATGTCCTGCCACACCATGATGCCCAACCGGCCGGCATGATTGTAGAACCGCTGCGACTCATACCGTCCCCCGCCCCAGACACGGAGCATTTGGATTCCCGCCCGGGCTGCCGAACGCAGCAGTTCGGCCTGGGTGGGAGGGCTGCTGACGCCGTGGAAACCAGACTGTCTGTGCCCCGGAAAGAGACTTGAGGGGATCCAGTTGCTTCCCTTGATGAACAGCGACACGCCATTGATGCGGAAGAAGAAGGTCTTTCCGTAGGCCTCTGAATCTATCATCACGTCATCCTTTGTAAAAAGAGGTGGCTAGTGAAACCAGTGCAAAGGGACCGAAAAGTGTCCAATCACTCTTCCGGCGATGGATGAAATGTTTGCGACCTTTTTTGAACCTTGCGTTGTAGATATCACAACAGATTATAAAATAGAATCTTAATTCGGTTCTATGCTTCCGAGTCGAATCTCAAGTAAAAATGTCTCAGCAGAATACGGCTTGCGATCACCTTTAAAAAAGACGTCCTGTAAAAATATATAAAGTACACGAAACACACTCTTGATTTTTCCACATCACCTCGGGGGCTTTGAGCCATAGCTGCCTAGCGAAATGCGTAAATCTAACTAAATGTTTGCAAACGTAAGTTTTTGTCATTGAAACAGAGTTACCGAAAAAGTGAGCAAAACTGTAAAGCATTTGACCGATTCAAAGTCTGGGTTAATTGAGCTGCAGCAAATGACTACTCAGTCTTACTTATTCAGCAGCATTATTCTAATTCAATATGGCATCCGATCTGAGAGCGGTAATGAAGTTGGTGCGCATAAAATTGATGCCAGAATTTTTAAATAAATGACTGACGAAACATCTAGAACGAAGTTTCTGCCTGATTATATAAAACCTAAGCACCTTATAAACCCCAGTATGCAGGCCATCAAATATTGTGACAGCTGTTACTCTATTTGACAATGCCCCTATTGATTCCGGAAAAAGAGGCAAATTGTCAGGCACTCAGTTTCCGTGAATGCGTCTACTAGGCTGACGGGTGTTATTGAATAATTAACAGGAGACAACCAGGCTTCGCATCACCACAGCCACTGTTGAATGATTGTGCGAGTGTAATGTGGAGACTGGGAGCAGCTTCAGCACGGATCGCCGGGGGGACTGGCGACGGGAGGCAGCCTAATTATTGCAAATATCGCCTACTGCCTTTATTTTGACTGAAAGTTTTCGTGGTTTGAGCTCTTAAAGCGTGACCCACGCGACCCATCACTTTCAAGTTTCCAAACACCGGACTTTTGAGTCACCACAGGAGGCGGGCTTCTGAACAGTGAGCGGCACCGAGGCACGCCTGATGGTCTGACCGTGATGCCGCCTTGGCGGTTAGCCTCAAAAACATCAAACAAACTGCAGAATACGCAGGTGGCACAATACGCAGAGAGTAAATCAACATTCACAACCGTGCGTTCGGTTTTTCAAACCCCAATAACACCGCAACATTATAGGTCAACTTCAATTATTTTTTTCAAATAATTAGCCAGAAAATGCCTGTAGTATATGAGTGGTCATAATTTTATGAAGGCATGCTTTCACACTGAAGTTAGTGCAGACAGGGTGTAGACAGCACAGGTGGTCTTGCGAACCACTTACATGGAAATTACGGCTGGGAGTGTAACTCATGAAAAATGATTTGTACCTTTAACATGCTCCTTTCGCTGCGTGCTTATCGTCCTGGCGTTTTCAAAGCATCCTTGCCGTTTACGAGGATGCACATCCGAAGCGTGGTGACTCGAAGCACCAGGGACTTGGCGCATCAAAAGTGCAAAACTTAAATTTGTACTCCACTTTTTGTTCTGCCGCAAGTAAACTGTAAAAATTTGCTCTTTAGCGAGTAAATTTCAAATATCTACAAATTAAAGTAACCGGATTCGCAGTTGCAAAATTAATAACTGATTATAAAACATTTTAGTCAAAAATATCTCATTTTGCCGACAGACTGTAAGGTCTGACTAAGGTAATGAAAACGCATTCAACGTTGTAATCCACATGTAGAATGCCGTTTAATGTGTCTCAAGACCGGTTTTTCAATAGTTGTTCCACAAAATACGTCTGATGATTTTCGATTTACCTGACCCTGTTCCTCCGATTGTGCTGCACACCTGACTGACTTACTTTGGTGGCATTAAAACAGTGTTCTATGGACTTTTAGTGCAGGGTCTGCACATGGTCTCAAGATTATTTAAAGCACGATATCAGGTCTGAATTTTATGTCAACAAAATTAAGTTTATACGCATATTAAAATGCGCACGACTCATGGGTACCAAAATAGTATGTTTACGTTCACTTGTGATCTTAAAAATTGTACGCTGCTCCCGCTTTGTCCATCGGTGTATTTTAAAAGGACGATAGTCTTTATTACTTGAGCGCGCCATTTCAAGATGGCTTTTTCGTAATTCCGAAATTGCACTTTCCTACACTAAGTCATTTCCGAGGGGAGATGTCGGTATTTGGCAACAACTGTTTTCTGCAAAGGTGCTAAATTTTATATAGAGTAAATGTTTAAGCCGTATCAATCTAATCATTGCACTTTTATGCCATTCAAAGCCACTTTACCTTGATTATGCTAAACTGTCACTTGAAAAAAAAAACATTTTTTTGAGTTAAAACCATTTGTATGGTACCGTGGTCATTTCTCATGTAAATCTAAGCTATTCGCAAGCTGTGGCATAAGCAGATAAGCAAACACTTCAGGCGTGAAATTGCCGAAACATCTTGTCACTGCCGTTTTTTATTTGTATGCTACTGATTTGAATAAGTACAGCGGTATTGGTGGGCAAATTTCCACTTAAAGTGCTACTGTTTTCTCGAAATCCCGCAAACTACGGAGCTCTAGGCCTTCAAAAACACTGAATTACCTCCATGTCAGTAGAAAAGATCTCAATCTTATAACATTACATCCCATTTGTTTGTTTCCCTCCTACTAACGGCCATCACTTTCGGCAGTGGATTTAAAGCAACCCCAACCAAAATCATAATGCATTGATAGTTACGGACAAGGGAAAGGGACGACGGAGAGTTAGTGAGGACTCCTCTCTCTTTGGTGAAAATTTTGAAGAGCAGTTTGTGGAATATTCAGTACACAACAGTTGAGCGAATATGCGGGCGACTGAAACATCGATACAGCCCGTCTTCACCTGATTGGTCAGAGGGCCTGGTACGCCTTCTGCCTTGGTAGGCAGGCCGGCCAACCGCGCAGTCGCGTTCCGCCGAGTGGTCGCGCGAGGGCGCTGCGCTTGCGCGCGCGTGCGGCCCCACCGCGCGAGTGTAGTTGAGGCTGAGGGCGTGTGGGTATTTTTCGCATCGCCTCGTGCGCAGGTGCTTCTCGAGTCGGTGGCCTAGTTAAGATCGGCGCACGCAGTTGCTGCAGTGCGAAGGTGTGGGGAGGGCGGAGACTCGACCCTCTCTCGCTCTCCCTCGCCCTCCTCACTACACTGGGCACCTACGCTGCCTCGCCTCGCCTCCTCTCCCTCCAGCTATTTTTGGGAGTGGGAAATTTTAACAGCCAGGGCTGCGTGAGTAAAATCGAGTGGAACGAAACGGCTCTTTGATTATAAACACCAATTTTTGAACGCCTAAACTAATGTGGAAAGCGAAATTGCTGCCATTTTATTAGCCCGCGCCAGCTTAAGAAGAGTTCTACTTAGGTCGAAGCGTTTGTACAAGTAGTAACATACCTTTACCATAATATTATTGCCATTATACCCAAGGTTCGTTATCTCATTATAACCATAATTTGTGACGTTTCCTGTTGTGATGTTGGTTGCTTGTCTCCTTTAGTCGATCCCTATCAAGTTAATAATTAGGAAATTTTGTGCTACAAAATTTTGTTGGAAACTGTTGTGCTTATTTCGGCCGTTTCCGCTTAAAAGGAGGCCAACATCACAAAATTACTACGGTATAAACTCAAGGTTAAATTGATGTGCTCTGATTCTTTTGGTCTTGTCCCAAAGGCAAAAATAAAAAAAGTGGATGACTCAGGAGTGAAAGGAATGAGATTGCATAGACTGGGCATATTTATTATGAAGATGGCGACAAGAAGTTGGCAGATTTTGCCCATTGCAGGCATTCGCCGGCACCTGTTGTGAATTGTGTTTATTCACACCCCTTAATCCGGTCGCTCCACCTCCGACACAGGGTTCCCCTTTTCACAGCATGTCGCCAGCCCCGCGGATCCTCAAATCCCCCCTCATTCACACGGATATTTATCTTGGATTATCCTCATACCTAGGTCTCGATGTTAACGCACCTATGACTCACACATCCGAGGTATAAATACACAGGCGCAAATCCCACACACGACACCAACGTGGTTAAGCTCTGAAGTAAGCGGTTGTGTCCACGTTCTCTCCGGTCGTTTTCTTCATCGCGGGTATCAGGGAAGAGTAATCGCGTCAGGGTTAATTCCGTGGGCCCGGCGTGGTTCAAGACCACGTGCTGGGGCCCACAACACACCCTTATGTGGGGATCAAAGGAGAAACTTTTGGAGCTAGTGGCGACCGGACGCTACGATAATTAACTTGTTTCATTTTCTCACCCTCCAATTTCACTGGCGATTTTGAGTGAACGGCGCTGAGTGTTGACGATGTTGTAGTTGAACTGTTGGAACGCTCACAAGACTTGGGATTTCAATAGAGCGTCGTTAAGGTGATGCAGCGTGAGTAACAGAGCAAAGTTAAGCATTTTTAAATGTCTCATTTGCTCATGATTGTTTAAAACCACGTCCAAGACAGTGTGTTTTAGGAATTTAAAAACGATGTTTCATCGAATGAACATATTCTGAATAGGTTTTTATATGAATTAATCAGAACAGTAAGTAGATCCGAGTGTGATAATCCAAAACAGACCTGCACAAACAGCTGATCTAGAAGAAAAGGTATTGACTTGATTTTAGTCCTCGCACAATCAACTCCCACCGTAATCGTTGCGTTCTTCGTCATGCTTGGTTCTGCTGGGGTAATTGCAGACTCAACTTTCCTAAATATCTCAAATTTTAAAAACTAAACTTTTAAAAATTTCCTTATAAATAAAATACTCAAAAGTAAAGGTAATTCCCTGATATTTCCTAACCTGAACTAGCTCCATTTGTCGGAAGCCAACCCAGTAAGACTTGTGATCAATCATTGGTCCTTCGTCGTGACTTCGAAGCTTCACCTTCAGAGAATACAAATGAGGCCCAGAATGCACTCCGTTTGGCCACCAAGGTCGCACTGTAGTATTAGAGACAAGAGGCAGTTCCATCCATACATTTCTTTCTCCATTTTCAGCAAAAAAACAGCGCTTCGCCCACGTGGACATTAGACCACCCCCAAGCTTCAAGTAAACACAATAAATATTGCTGTTTCTTCTGTCTCCTCCGTCGTCGAGAATCTCAACCGAGACGAATGCCTTCCAGGAACTTCCTGACATGACTGGAAAAAATCTCAACCCGTCGCCTATCCTAACATTGCTGAATCGTAGTTGTGGGAGTTTCCAGAAGCCCTGGATCGGAAATGCCGGACCCCAATCCCATCCAAAAGAGGCCTGAGTCGTCCTGACTGCGTTGATGCGACACTCCCCTTTAAAAATATCTGGCCAACACTCGGGCAGTGGTGGATCTGGTGATAGCTTTTTGTAAGCCACCTTCGCCATTAAAGGAGTAGACCGGAAAGCGAGTTGAAGAGAATTCCATCCATAACGGAGGGCAGAGGTGATCGGAATGTTTACATGAATGAAGCTGTTATCCGTGCATGTCAAAAATTTGCCATTGAGGTGGACACAACAGAAAGTATCTACTTCACGTAGTTCAAGCACGACTGTCTCAGTAACCGCGGGATAGTGAACTTGAAAGCGATGTGAAAATGTCCAGTTCTTGTGGCTTATATATCGCAACTCCGTGTCACCGTAGCCTCGAAGGGGATCATCAATGAGGCCGCTATTTTTGAGGACAGAATAGACGTCAGTGCCCCCTGAGGTTAAATTGAATTCCACTGTGATATCACCATCGGTAACGCTCCACTCGCCAGAAAGAGGAACAGTACTACCATATCCCAGCAGAATCCACTGAATCAACACCAGAAGAACAGCCATGGGCGTTGTAGTCCAAATGTGCGCTACCCGCAATGACGATGCTTGAAAAGACGTAAACAGAGTGACTTAATGCGGGTTTGTTCGGACCAACCACAGCCACACTCACGCGTAGTTTACAAGCCACCGCCTGGTCGACTGCATGAAAGGGCTGAAAATATGCGGCTAAAGTAGGATTCGTTAGGTCCGCGCAGTTACGTTAGAACGAAAGAGGACCCAGGAACCGAATTACCTCAGATGCTTCTGAGTAGTGGTTTTTTAGACACCTCCGTCGAACTGTCTAAATGACCCATGCTAATTTTCCGACAGAAGTGAGGCCTTATGAGTGAACGAATTGTCGATTTTGAGATCTCACTCAGTTCACTGGCAAATGTTTCATCGATTGTGCAAAATTAGGTGGACGCATCAAGAATGACAAAAGGATAACTAGTCGGAAAATTTGGGAATATCGCCTCTCGAATCCTAATTAGTAGAAATTCACGAACGGCACATCGCTCCACCCCGGTAATAACCAAATACAGCCGTGTTCTAAATGTCAGATCCCTTGGATATCCATGAATGTCATTGCAATACAAAAGACCAATGCCATCCAAACTCGTCACCATCTTATATCCCACCAAATGCAAGTTATGAACAGCTTCTTCGCCAAACCAAACAGACCGATTACCACCACAAAATTACTTTTCGGACTATGGCTCACCGATCAAGTCGAAACGGACTGCGCCTCAACGCTGCGACTCCTCGCAAAGGGACGTTTCACAGCCGGCAGAAACTTACATGTGCAGATCCGCCGAAATACAACAATTTCCTAAGAAAATGATTTGCATCGGGCTAACCCAGAGCTTTGGAAATGGCACCTCGCCCAATTTATCGAAAGGTCTTGAATCCAGTTGATGGCACACTCTGCAGTCTGGTAAAAGGGGGAAATATCCTAACCTGGCAGTGAATTTCTATTCAGAAGCCTAATTAGTAGAAAGTTAGGAATTTTAAAAATTAATTGATTGTGCAGTCCATGAAGTAGAAAATTACAATTGAAATATTGGTGGTGACTGTCTCCACCGAATGTCTCAAAGGTATATGAAAACCCTAAATGCCATACCAAGAGGTAAATGAAAGCATGCTTGTCGAGAGTTGCAAAAAAAGATTAGTTAGCGTAATAGATAGGGTGGCAAGAAAGAGGGTTTCACTGGCGCACAGGGAAGGCTGAGTAAAGAAACACAGCAGCGACAACACAACTGGTTCCAAGGAAGAACATCCATGAGAGGTGAGTGTCGAAAAAGGCAACCGACAGGAAACAGGTGATTACAATGGAGCACGAACAAGCGAAGCCCTAAAAGAGAAAAAACCGGGATTGGTTGGTGGAGTACAAAGCATGAGTTTCAAGGACAGTCCAAGTGGACCGGCGTTTTGAAAGGGCTGGTGCTCTATCGGTGGTAGGAAAGGCGTTAGAAAACAACAGTATTGGTCGCGTGAGTAGCCAGCTGGATGTTACACCAGTTTAGCAAATACACTAGCAGAGACAATTCCAGCAAACGCGTTAAACCCAGGAAAAAACAGTGACGACAAAATGCCGCGTTTACTCAATGGTCAATTGTGACTAAGGAAGTTTTAATTATGGAGAACAAACCGAATCCCCAGAATGCTGAAATCGGCAGACACGGAGGTCACACTGGCCTGCATTTTGTGGTCCCGTACAGCCTCAGTGCAGTTAGCCGCGTGCTACGTACAAAAGCCATGCAGACTCGTGGCTGAGGCCACGTGAATCAACAATTTACGAGACGCTCAGGCAACCCACTATGCGCCAGTGACTGCACTTATTTAGGGCAACAAAACAGCATCCTCAATTCCGACAGTACCTAGACATAAAGCAGGACGTCACCCGAATTAACCTAGGTCAAGTAGTCTACACATTCAATTATATAATAGAGGTTCTTAGTTGAATCGTATTCAGAGTTAAATAAAATTAATTCTGAACCTATGGTATTAGAGGGTAGCCGATATCGAAAACCAAATTCCATCTTATTCACTGGGAGACAAAATTGAAGTGGCGTTGTTCAACTAAAACTTCACGAAGGTCTGACAAAGCAGAAAACAGAAACGCAGATTACGAATTCAGCAACAGAAAACGAGTGCTGAGGTGAGTAAAATTTATCTTTCGTCAACAAAGACGAGTAAATGACAAAAGGACCTACCGACCTTTGTACGTTAGCGCACATAACTCGATTTTGATAATTTGCCGACACGACATAACAAAGCACTCTAGAAAACCAACATTCACAAGCACTTGTCGAAAAATGCAACCAACCAGAAATTTAATGTAAATGTTCCCGAATAAGGCTTCCCTTGGTTGTGGAAAACGAGAACAGAGTAGACTAATGTAATTTTTAGTTTGCAGGACTACGCTAACAATAAATTAGGAAGAAATAGACTGTTTGTGGGGAATTTGGTAGGCCGTGCTATCAAATTAGACAAAAGAAGTCACACTGATTAAAACCAAGCAAAATAGAAGTTACTACTAAAAAACCTGAGTAGAAATGTACAAAAAAGCATTTTATAGCAGTAAAACTACACCAATTTGTGTGTTTCCTAAAAAAACAACCTCAGCTCGTTAACATTAACTAATTTAGCATAGAAAAACAGCAATCGACATCGCGCCCACTGAACTGCGATTCAAACACTTAAGAACACAAGACTACGTTTATGACGAGTTCAACTGGATCAACATTTTTGAGGTCATTCGCTCCACACATCATCCCTCTTTGCCGTGACAAATAGCGATAACCAATATCCATCATTCGCAAAACACTCTGTTAAACCAGTTTTTATGCTGTACCTCAGCTATACGATCAAACAACGTTACCGATGGTTTGTGCCCACTCTAAAAGTGACCGCGTAGACATGGTCACCAAAGCGCTACCATTACAGCTGTTCCACGTGTCACCTCACACACACACACACGCACACACACACCCCTTTAACACCATTCCTGTCGCGCAACACGACTCCCTCCCCCCACCCCAGCTAGGAAGTTTCACCGTTCTCCAAATCAAACACAATTGGTGCACATCACTGCTCCACTGATTCCCCTACCCTAAATCCTCTCTCATGCACCGACTGACTGACTAACTGACTGACGGTTGTTGTGCTAAGTATCCTCGGTTCTGCCCCCAGGACAACCAGTGCACCTGAAGACCCAGTCTCCGTCAAACCTCCGACAGCATCAACTCCACAAACTACAACCCTACACCAGGCATTCACCTGTGGTACCATTGTCAATAACACTCCTCACACTGCAAGTGGAGTGGATCGCAAGTCGAACAAAGCATTACTCTTACTAGCACAATCACACCCACCATACAATGGTCCCACAATTAACACAGTACCTTGCTGATACGTGCACTTAACTACGACGAATGCAACTCCAACAATCACCAACACATCCAATCTAACAAAGCATCAAGTCTAGTGTACGAGCACTACCACCTGAAGCATTCAAATTGAGTAAACACGAAAATCTCGAAAAGATATATGGCGCTGACCTACTTCATAAGCGATTTCTGTGAATTTACTGCTATGTGGTCGACATAAAGTGGCGTAAAATGGGAAAATCGATAAAAAAAACCCTATGAAGTATTGGGCATTTACAAAAAAATAAGCTTTGACGATAAAAATAAAACAGAAAAATGTGGTGCGCTACTTTAGTAAATCATTGTAATAATTTCACTGTTTTATTTTCTCAAACATAATTAGCGAAAACCGAAATTATCTTCCAGTAGTAAAAAGTTAAAGGGCAATTTAATTTCAAACCAAGCGAAAATGAGTTCATAGACATGAAACGTTTCTTGAAGATTTAAGCACCTCTATGTATTCAAGTGTGATTCGGTTTGGTTATGTGTTAACAAGGCTTACCAGATACGACTGAAATAAATACCTTTTGAATGTTGTCTGAATATTTGACGACAAGCGCGACAATAATACCACCAATTGACTGGAGGGCGACGGTTGTCCACACAAGCCAATTAAAGCCGTAGAAAAACCCCTTTGTGTATACTCCTCCATTATTCATAAACTGAACAAGGATGGCAATGATAACTGAAGCTAACGAGAGATCAAAGTTCCGAGCCCAAAGTGATTTTGGCGAATTTTTGAGAACCTAGGAATGAAAAAAATATGTGGATGATCGCGCAACGCGAGGCAAAACACGTGAGCTCATAAATTAAATTACTATCAAACAGAAAGCAATCTGACTCGGGATAGCTGGTTCGATTATGGAAAATTCAATTGGCTGGGTCAGTGGCCTCGGCACATCACTTCAACGTGTTTTCATTGTTATTTTTGTTTATGAGTACTCGGCAAGTTTAGACGTCAAGGAATGAAGTGATAAAAGTGGTTTGCGCTGGAATATATAACACCAAAGTCTTTACAAGACTCTAAAATGGACAATTCTATACCCCAGGTTATGACTGGGAAGTAAACAATGGTTTAAAAACTACATGTCCATCGAACAGCCTTTTCATGATCGGAAGAGTAATGTCTAAAAGACCCAACAATTTTATCACAAAAAAAATTATTTTTGAGGCCAGCTGGAGCATTAAGTCAAACTACATTACACAGACTGGAAGGTTATGACCAAAATTTACCATTTCAAAATATACGGCAGCGAATCCAGACAGGAATGAGGCGAAGACAACCGCAATTAAGCCAGGCGTATTCGAGATTGGTCTCGAAACAGACAGGGTAGGTTGACTAATATGATCTTGCAGTTGAACGACAGCCACACCAAAAAAGAGAACAACCTGCGATATCCACTGAGCAGTACCTATACGTTTGCCCAAAATAATAACTGAAAACATAGTAGTAGTAAGGAGCTTCAGTTGATATGTTACCTAAACATTTCCCTCACCATTATTTCATTACCTGGAAAACAGCGGTATCAAGGAGGCTTAGTGCGTAAAACAACACACTATTTTGTATGACATAAATAAAGGCCGGAACTGAAGTTTGGAAAAAATCAAAAGGGTCATAGTAGATGCTATACAGTGACTGCTTAAGTCTGCCTTCTTGAAATAAAACAAGGGACGAAAAAATAAGCTTAAAGCACTCGCTGAGTATAACAACCGACGACGTGAAAAACTTTTTTTGAGATTGAGTACGGGAGTACCGCATTGACAAAGTATGCAAAACATTTTGGACAGATAACGCGATTAGGCACACAACCCCAAACCGCTTTGAACCGTGCAAATCCATTATTGGCTCAATCAGATTATCAATATGCTTCATATGCAGTTATTGACAAATTCATTGACCTACTTAAACGAAGGAAACAGTTTTTGGTTTAATTTGGCAACATGCTAAAAAAACAAATTTTAATAATGGCAGCTAAAACGCTCATTAGGAAAAATTAATATTTAGTGCATTTAGTGTAAGTTTTCATAATACTTCAACTAATTAACTATTTTCCAAATCATTATAGTTTTTTTTGTGAAGAACCGCTTAACCAACACGTTTTTGTATTCTCTCCTATATTTGCAGATTAATTTTTGTGTGTCATCACATTTTATGGTTTATTGGAAGATATCAAATATAACATTGCAATGTCACATTGGTAACGGCAATTCAAAAACAGAGAAAACCATTCCGAATCTAGCCAGTCTAAACTCTTTTTGTTCAAAATTCTATTAATCATAAATTTATCTTAATACAGAAACTCTAATCATTGACTTATTGTCAGAGGTCCTGGAAACGATGGTTATTTTATACTTCGAAAGAGGCATTGTAAAAATAACTGATTTATTACGTGGTCATCGGCATAATTTACGAAAGATCATGCAGGTTTTAATGCAGTTAGCGTTCCTCTGTTTTTTTAATAGAGTGTGCAAAAAGCTACAATCCAGAGAAAAGAATATAATGTTAGCAAAAATATGTAAAAAATTTTAAAGATGGATACGTCTTGGACCTAGTAAATTAGAAGAACATTAATTTAGGCCCCAACAGCAGGATACAAGAATTCAATGCCACAAAATGTTGGGTTTGTCCTTCTGATTATCAAATACATTAGCGAATTATCGGGCATGAATTAGCGTTTAAATTACTTACAAATGGCAATGAATCCATTACAACATACTTAAATAAAATATAGTGAGTAGTAAGGAATTATATTGATCACATTTAGCATTGGTAAATTGGCACGGCTCGCCTTGCTTATTTCCTAAGGGTTATTTTATGACGTTTTGTTACGCACTTCTGAGTTTCAGCTCGATAAAAGCATTTTCCCGTTCCTTCCTATTCAGATAAGTCTATTAGATAGTTTATCGCAATTCAATTGTTTGATTATTACCACACTGGTAGTACCTGTTGTAAAAGACTATTCGACATTGTAAGACCACGATGTAAGTGAGAGACAACAGGCCTAAGCTTCCTCATGATTTTAACTTTTCAGCACAACCTAGAATGTCTATATTATCTAGTAGCCTCAGAACTATTAGGTACACATTGAAGCTAATTCATAATACTCTGATACAATTTGAAAATGTTAACCCAGTAAGTAAACTTTAAAGTAAAGGAATTCAGCACGCACAGTGGTGAAATATTTTGACTAAAACCCCGAATCTAGTTCTGACTTTTACAAAACAAACAAAACACGGTAAGTCGTTGCAACACTCATAAATATGAACACTGTTTGTCTTACATGGAAATCAAGAAGATTTTTTTTGTTTCGATAGCTATCGAATTGGGTTTAACACGCAGCTGCATTTTTAAGGGTAGAGTGAGGGTTATTAAAATAAGATACAATTAATATGCTTTAAAAAATATTCTAGGTTTTATATCATTTTCATATTTTGTGAATCAATATTTTGAAGTAAAATGAATCAACAAATTGAAAATAAAATATGAGATTTCACGCTGTCAACAAATTTAAAAAAACATTTTTACATTATTTGTTTAAAGGAACACGTAATCCACTTACTGATGCAAATATTTTAATCGACATTTAACTATTAAGTATTAGTGTTTTAACCACTGCAAATCAACTCGACCGTACGAAGCTGAGTATCTAATATTGCGCGCTAATGGCGTCAAGGGAGTCGTGCCTGTATAATGCAAAATTGGCAGAACAAAGCGAAAGATTTGACGGTATTTTTTTTTAGAAAGCTTGATTTTTAGATATGATTGGGTACATGGATACTATCGTAAAATTAGGAGTAGAGCTAACTTCTGAAGAAAGAAATTTGCTCTCCATAGCGTATAAGAACTTTATGGCAGCAAAACGCTTTGCTTGGCGTACAGTTGCTCTTGCTGCACAAGAAGCTGACCGTAAAGCTTCTCCAGAACACTCGTGCTTTGTAATCTTCCAAAAGACTATTGAAGAAGAAATGCGTCAGTTATCTCGCAGAATAATCCACTATATTGATACTATTTTGCTAAAAGAGGAACTTGAACCTGAGCCAAAGGCATTTTACTATAAATTGTAGGTTGCTTCAAATTGACATTTGCCTTTAAAGTAAAGCGGATTACTACAGATATCTTGCTGAAATTGAAAATGGCAATGACAAAAAAGATTGTTCTGAACACAGTTTAAATGCCTACAAAAGCGCCTTTGAGATAGCGTCTGGAAATCTTTTTCCAACACATCCATTGCGTCTTGGCATTGCGTTAAACTTTTCTGTTTTTTATTATGAAATTCTAAACTCTGTTGATAGAGCTTGTAAACTTGCAAAAGCAGCTTTTGACGACGCTATTGCGGAACTTGATAATATATCGGAGGAGAACTACAAGGATGCAACACTGGTGATGCAACTTTTAAGAGATAATTTGACGTTATGGACTTCCGACATGGCTGCGACCTCCAATGATGAGTGTGCCCGACCAAGATGTTAGGAAAACATTCTCCCTTATCTACTAAGTGCGCTGTTTTTGATCATTGTAGCAACGCTTTACGGATGTAATTTTCTGCATTTATTACTTTTTCTGTTTAATTAAGGAACACAGAAGCCCTTTCTCACACAATGCGATGCTTAATTTGTGAGTTAGGGACTCAAGGTCTTCATAATTATATGAAGTGTTAATCCCTTCGGAAGTATAACTTCTCCTTTGTAGTAGTCGTGATTGAAAATGCTGTGCTATTATGACAAAGTAACTCAAAGCTTGTTGTTTTTTCCACGAAAAAAACCAAAGAAATTGCAAGTTGTGACAGACGTGGTTATTTATTTTTATTATTTCACCATTTATCTGTAGTGAGAGAATCAAATTATGTATATAGGAAAAAATCTTAACAATTTGTACTATTAAGAAATTGGAGGCAGACGTAAGTGTCACTTATTCTTCCGATGTGTGATAGTAGAGTCACAGATAATAAACACCAAATGCAGCAGTTGTGTTTCCATATACAACGGGTGGATTTGTTTCATGTGATGAAACAGCTTTGCAAGATTTTTGCGACCTTGAAAGGTTTGGTTAATTAACATAAGTAAATAGTCATATTTCATAATTGGGTTTAATCTAGCCTATTGATTATTTTTAATCTTGAGAGCTGAGCGGAATCGTCTGTGTCCGTGAAGAAAATTGTCGGCAACTGAGTATCTGAGATATTCCATCACAAATAAAATAATGTCGAGCCTGGACCATTACGTGTGTTTGTTGTAGATGGTAACTCTGTTTTCAGATGGTAAACATGTTACTATCAGCTTTATTGGATTAAACCATTTCTTGGATAATCCAGAAACGTTTCAGTTAGAAAGGTGCTGTTCAGATTTAGCATGATTTGGTTGCTGAAAATCAGTTAAATACGCAACCTGCTAGTGTGTTTCGTAGTTTCATGATTGTTATAAATCCTGGTATGGTGATCCTCCAGAAGGTAATGCCAGCGCTTGTTGTTTAATATATTTTTTTAGATTTTGGTTTACAAGGAACATTTCCTAACATGATTGTCTACCGAATATAAACTATCAATGCATTCCAATTTCACAAAACAGATCACCTTATGAACAATGCACTACTCGTTTGCACTTGCATAGAATTTGTGACAGAGGCGAAACCCAAGTGATATTAAGTTGACATGAAAACACTCCAACATTCCTATGGTTACATCAAGCCTTTTTAGACAGATGTCAAATTGCACAAGTGAGGTTTCGTATTACAATTGTGAAAATCACAGCTTTAAAAATATGTTTATTTTACGTATATCAAGATTTTGGGGCAAAACAATGACAAAACAGAAGTAGCAATTTTATGTAGCGTTCAACAGAACGACGTTAAAAGGCGGTCTTATTAGAAAACGAATTAAGCTTAGGTGACCGCCTTAACTAAAACACTTTGAATGCTCCAAGCTTTTGCAAATATTTACTTTGGTGTTAAGCCGTGGCATATTCATGTGAAAAATTCGTGAACGCATTGATGAGATGATCATTCGTCAGACTTGTACTTATAAATTTGGAGTGACTTCTGTTTTACCATTTGTTAAATTGAAGTGGTCAGAAACAAATCGTAGCAACAATTCGTCATCGACTTGATGGTTCAGGTGATAGCAGGCATTTGACTTAATGACATTTAGTCCCATAGTTGACATTTAAGTACAGCGTTGTCTCTGAGTGAATGAGACGGCACCTGGGATTAGGTGAGTGGTCTCGCCAATTGTGTAAACCGAAAACAACCAGTTTTAAAGTTGAGGTCAGGGTCCATATATCTGTAGCAAAATCCATGATCAGTCATGCTAGTGGTCGTATCAAACCAGCGATTATCTAGTAAAACGACGGTAAATATTAAAGGAAAACAACTTAGGGTTTAGCAACTATGTCAGTTGCAGTTTTCAGCCTAGACAACATGCGTTAGGCGAAGGTAAACCATATGTGCCTCATGACGGTTATGCCTATTGTAGTGTTGCGACGAATCAGGGCGCAGACATATAGGATCCCCTGGCCTCAGCCAATCCTGCGTTTCTCTGTTTTCCAATGGTATGCGAGGAAGATAGGCCGCCAACCAGAGAAGGAAACGAATGAGGATCAGTATATAATGAGCGGCGTGGCCAACGTGGTGGACTCGGATGGAAGGCGCCTGAAGTGTGATTCTGGATTATACTTGCCAATAAAGCCTGTTCTGTTGTACCGGTCTTTTGCCTAATAGAGCTCGGGTATTCTACACCATAACAAACGCCCTAGTCTGCCAAAAAGCGCCCATGAGTGGACGTACGGAATTGAGGACACATGGTTGAATATCAGCAGATTTAAGTAACAAAACTAAGCATACATATGTTTATACACCAAAAAGTAGTATAGGGTTAAGGTCTGTGGGCAGCTGCTTATAATTTTCATAGGAGTTTTATATTAATATAATCATGACTGGCCTAGATATAATGTTAAGGAATTCATAGCATATTTAAAAGATAGAAACAAACAGTTACATTGCTAGTTCTAGTAAAAGATCCGTACTATCCAACAAATTCAGAATATTAAATCCATTCTTTGGTTCGTAATTGCTTAATTCTGTTGTACGAACTGCAACCTACACAGGTAGAGGCTTCAAATGACTGCACCTAAAAATGGATGATAGCTGCGGAAATCAGTAATTCCTTGAGCAAGTGCGAATCCAATCATCTTTGATCTCTATATAACAAGCAGGCTAGAGTGCACCTAATATGCATAAATGGGCATTTAGACATTATGATCTGCCTCAAGAAAAGTAAGAATGGGGATTGACTTTGTCCTAGATTGAGAAAGAAGAAACTGTAGAGAAGAGATTTGTCTTATTGTTGCCACACTTAAGTGCTTGAGCAAATTTTTACAATGGCTCATAGAAGATATGTTCTTTGCTTCATGAATTTTTGTGCTTGCATATTTTGAACAAATATGATGTGATACATTGGAAAGCAAATCATAATATTACACACCCTGATGTTAATTTTAGACATCTAAAGGGCCAAAGTAAAATTTTTTCAGCAATCAAATATGAATTCTCAATTATTCTAGTAGCAAGATGGCAACTTGAAAATAATTCGAGAACTCAAATAAGGCAGGTAAGAAAGAATAATTGCAAAACATACTTTTTTTTACTACCATTTAAGCATACTTACAAACTAGAAAAAATGTTTTTTGCGGAAATTAAAATGTTTTAACGAAAATACCTTGTTTGAAACAGTTCAAAAAAGTTGCTAGAAGACAATTCTTCGGCTGGCTTCAAGGTCGGCGGCCATATTGTTTCCTTCGTCATGCCGTAAACGGCGCCCTTTGTTTTTAGCAGTTTAAACTATATTCCGCTTGCTTGCCGTAAAGGATTTGAGATTATTTTAACTTAAATTTTTTGATTGTTGTGGGTCTAATTTCTTGTATTTCTCCTTGCCACTGCCATTGCTCATCCCCATTGTATTATTGTGTTAAGCAATGGTTTATTTGCACTGATGTTTCTCGTTTAATTAAATTTAACACTTGTAGTATTTTTCTGAAATATGTACTTTATCCCATAGGTTTTTGTTTTACATGGTTTAAAACCCTAGGAGTGCTTGATATCATTAACTACCGCTTAACTGTGTCTGTAAATGGGAATGTGGAAAATGTTTCTTTTCACTATTTGAGTCGTTCAATTTCTATTGTGGTTTCTTTGGTTATACGATAGAAAAATGGTCAAAATGTAAAACGCTAGCGAACATCTGTTTGGTCTTCTGATAGATGACCAATGAAGGTTTTTGTTGCAACACAAAACAGCTTTTTCGATTTGTGAACATTTCATTCATTCTTCGTTACCCACCTTTTAATGTAGCATACTAAATGACGCTTAGCTGTTGCCATAATTTTTTGCGACTCTTGGCTTTGATTTTTTCTTGTTACCACCGTTTTATCTTTGGTATTTATTCTGATGAACCTTCAATCAAGTACGTTTGCCCCGTTCTTCCAGTAAAAGGCAACTAATTATTAGTTGGTTACCATGTCTTATGTTTAATTTAGTTTCTGCTTACTATCCATAATTTTGTGCAAATATGATTGTACTCTATACTATTCATTACATTACATTACTATTACATTTTACTTTAGTCGTCTGTTGTATGCAATCTCCTTGATTGTATTTCTTGGTCATGGATTTACTCGAGCATCATCAACATGAACGGAACAATGATATAGACAATCTCATCATTGCTGCAGCTGCAGCTTCAGGAGACGAGCCCATGGACACCAATATGCGTGTTGAAGAGTGTGTCAATGTAAGTCTGCTTCATATCTACCTCACTTTTGCAGTTCGAAAGCGGTGAAGGACCTCGGCCTGGTCATACCTATTGGCATCCTGGATTTTTGCATGCCGAACACGTCGCTGCAATTCAGGAGGCTGCACGCACTGTTCTAGCTGAACATAATCGTCACTTTTTGCCCGAACCCTACAGTAAAAAGCTAGGGTCAGAGCTAGATTATCAGGAAATGATGGATCTTATGGACTTCAAATGCGATGAGGAGGAGAGTGTTGATCGCATGGAAGCCTTGCGAAAGCATTCAATGGTCTTTGAAGCCACTGGAGCCCACTCCCAAGCTCTCCCTCTTTATGAGGTTGGTTTTTCTTGTTGAATTATTTTGTTTTCTTATTTAGCAAGCCGTCAATGAGGCGGCCTGTCAGATCTGCGCTATGCAGCCCGCAGCTATTTTTCACAAGCGCGATCTTGCGATGCTAGCGAAGATGGCTGTGCGCATGACTGGCTTCGAATTTCCTAGCTCTCTTTCGACAAACTATACTCCAATGGACGAATATGTTACGGTACCCTCGTCTGGAGCGGTTTTAGAGACTGACGAAAGCGCACAATCCTTTAGGCCTTCAACTGCCGCTCCTGCTAGTGCCTCTATGCTTCTTCAAAAGTCTGGGTATGCATAAGTTTTCTTTTTCTTCATCTACTTTAATGTAGGCTCCTTGCGCCGAGACGAGACGCTTTAAAACCCAAACTAACACCACAAGAGTACACCATTATTGCCCGTGCCGCTCAGGAACTTGCTGCGGAGCTACCAAATTTAGCTTTGAAGAGCCGAGACCAGTGCAGTTTAGTGGAGAACTTTGTTTACACTGACGCAGTTCGTTTGATGAACATAAGCCCAGAACGACTGGATGAAGAAATGGAGTATATTCGCGATGTGAGCGCCATCTACGGTCGGTACCAGAGTGGTCCCCGGATGCCTTCCCCACGTCTTTCGCCCTATGAGCTAGGAATGAATGAGGCGGCTGCTTGTGTCGCAAAATTACGACCTAGTCTTCTCACTCATACCCTCCATTTGACCGAATGGGCGAGGCGTGTACTTACATTGTCCGGACTTCAGTTATCTCGTATCCCCGCACCAGCCTCCCCCGCGCACCATCAGTCTACTCATGGTGATCGATGGTAAACGCTTTGTTACACTTCACTGATTCTTAGCTCTATTGCTAAACTTTTTCACATTGTCTTATTTTCCAACCACATCTCTTTCTAAAACTTAGTTTCCACAATTTAAATAAATTGGCCTTACACTGTATGCAGAGAACCTTTACAGGATGTCACTCATTTTTCAACCGGTTTCTATTACTCAGCGACGTGTGTACCCAGCGTAGTTAGTTCATACTAAAAGATCTCTAAACAACACAACGAATTGCTAGATCCGTAGCATGATTTCCTCCTACTCACACCATTCCTCTCAGTTTGCACCACTTGCCAATGCTTACAACTAACATAGCTTGCCTGTACAGTTAATTGCCACTATTTGTATATGTTCTGTACATAGCGATGCGCAATCCAGCACCAGAGCATCGCTTGTGGTCGTATTCTGTAAAAGTGTCTATCCTGATGCATTTGTATGCTCCAATATCGGCGAGCCCTACGTAAGGGCACAGTGTACCGTTAGTTGTAAACCTTAACACGAATTCTAAATAATATTTTAATCCATAGAAATTACCGTGCCCTCATCTAGTGCATTTTCAGATACAAATTTAACCTATACTATACCACTTCAGGCCTCAGCGCAGTGGTCCAACCAAAACGGCCTCAAGCCAGCTTCGCCTTCATAGCGGTGAGTCAGCCTTCGGCGGAAGTACTAGCTGTGGGTTGACTTATCCCGGCGATTATCTTGGCGACTTTGGTGGTGGAAGTGGAGGTGCCTTTAGCATTAACAGTACACCCGATGCTAGCAGCGGCGACATCATCGACTACGAATGCTCCTCCGGCCTCGACAGTACTGAACTCATTCAGCCTCTAGGCGGTCCCCAGGCAATCGCTCAACTCACTGACTTTAACCTAGAGAAGCTTGGTCGCGCCCAATTCACCGTCGTTGATCCGCGTACCGACGCTGAATTAGTTAATTGCCCTCTTAAATTAATTGTTGAAGAAGATGATACTCCGCTTGATGCATCAGAAATTCTCCGCTTGACTGGCGTGGATAGTCTAGAAAAGGTAACCGAGCTTTCGATCCCCTGTGGCGGCTATACCAGTGTGAATGCCTACGATCTAACTCGTTGCATCAACCTGAGGGAATTGGATTTAAGTGAAAATGCCCTCCGAATATTACCTAGGAGGTTGCATCTGGCAAATTTAAAGAAGTTGGGTCTCTCGGGTAATCGATTCATCCATCTACCTTTGATCGAACAATTTCCAAAGCTGTCAAGATTGACCATAGATGAGAAGCTGAAACAGGTTAGTAAAACTGGCCACTTTTATCAATTTGAATCGTTTTCTGCCTTTTTCTCTCTCAATATTATCATTAGCCGTAATCTTAGATTCACTGATTCATCATGTTTTTCAGATGTTGCAGTACTTTGCATCATAAATTACTAAGTTTAAGCTTCTTAACTCAACAGGATAACTTATTTACCAAGGCATAGGTCACGAAACCCCTTTTATATGTCGTTCATTTCCCTTATGTACAGATTTGTGGGTTAATGTCGTATGCTATTGTACGAAGTAGGTTTTTTTTATCAAAGACCTGCCCAAGTGAGGTTATAACTCAGTATCTTTGACTATTACTTTCAACATAGTGAACACACTTTGAGTTGGCGTTAGGTGATTGTGATTATCTTCCCTGGTCATGACGTGCTTCTTTGCCTTTTAGCTTCTCAACCCCCAAATGCTAGCCTTCTTTTGCCCGAAGTTAAAAACGATTAATAGCCAGTTCTTCGATGAGTTGTGTTCAGATTTCACGATTCGGGTGTTTCAGGAGGCCAGAACCGTCATGGAACCTTATGTGAGTTGCCTCTCCTTATTGCAGTAGCTTGGTTTGGTCGATTTACATTGTACTTATTGAGTGGTTGTATCCCATTTCTGTCGGTGTGTGTAGACGAGAAACCGGAGCACACGTCTGTGTGGTCGTCCCTTTTAAAAAAAGGACACTTAAAGCTTGAATGATCTGATGTTTTCAGCTGCGCATCGTCGCAAGCTACAAAGTGATCACCGCCATGTCAGTGGCGATTGAAGCCAAACCAAGCTTGCTGTGTTGTTATGCTTAACAATTATTAATCGATAATTAATTCTCCTCCTGTAACTGTGGGGTATTTAGCCTACACCAAGTCAACTGAATCACTTAACGTTACGTTTAGGTGTGTAGATTTAAATGTACATTATGCGAAGTAATCTATCCTTTTGCTTTTGTTCGTTTTACTTAACTAAATCCCTACTTTGACTCTCGTTTCGTCCATATTAAGTTTGTAGTTTTAAGCTAGGAACCTTGTATTAAATATCTTGATGGAATATGGCAGCCTAGATTTTCAGCCGTCTTTACCGAGATTTAGCGTCGTATTACCCAGCTCTATTGACATCTGCGTCCATTTAGTGGTTCATTTTAGGTCTATTGTCGTCCTAACATGCGGCTGTATTTGTCCACGCCAAGTTGCTTCCTTTCAATACCTTTATTTATCTTGAAATTGGAAAGTACTTTTCACCGTTCACTAATGGCAGGTGCGCTAATGCAACCTCCACATCGGCAGGTTTTGGAGGGTTTTTACGATCGAACTTCAATGTTATCTTTGACTATAGATCCGATCAAAGTGGGAGGCTGATTTTGCAGATCGTTTGGAGTCCATTGTAACTCAAGAAGATCGTCTGCGTGTCATCGAATCCATGGTGCAAAATTTGAAGGACAAGAACTTTATGCTAGATGAAAGTGTCCTGCCTTACAAAAATCTGCTGGTGTGTTTCTAATTGGCGTTTTTTGTCCTGGTGCCTGTCTATTATCAATGCCCCTCCCCCAGAATCCATTCTCCAGTTTCTGAAGCATCTTAATTGTGATAAACCGTATCATGTTTTTCGTACATTTATTTTCTGAACTGGTGGAAGTTCATCTCATTTACGCATTCGTAGAACAAGGTAGATTGCTGCTGCCCATTACTTATGCTAATCTCGTTAAAACATCAGCTAGTCAAGTAGGAAGGAGTCTGATATTGCTAGTTGTGTTGTGGTTTTTGATTGTTAAATGACTAATCTATTTGTTTCCCATCCTTATGAAAAATATTAGTGTAGCAATAAACCCAGCTAGGTGTTCGTCATCAACTGGCATTGCGAAGAATTTGTAATTTCTATTTAAACGCATAATGCACATACGGTGGCGGAGTGTCATTACTTTACACACAATTTTTATACGTACACGTTTTCAGTAGATAAGTTGTTTTGACGTCGATTTTTCTGAACTCAGGCATATCGCATAGCCAGCGAGTACGTACAAACAAAACAGCAACAGTTACCAGAAGCTGACACAGACGCTGACGCCGAAGCAGCAGCCCAGCGTCAAAGACAGACACGTGCGAGTGAACTGGCTGCAGCTCTTGAAGCTGAGGTGCCCATGGCAGAAGATGTAGACGATGATGAAAACGGGATGCTATCAGCTAGCGACTTGTCAAGTGTCGTTAGACGGCCCAGAGAAGAGACACAAGCCTCAACAGAAGCGGGCGAGGCAATTGTCGTCGAGGATGCTGAGGATGAAGTTGTTGCTGCCTCTCAAAACGTAGAAGGTGAAGAAGACGAGGAAGAAAGGGAGGCAGAAGCCCGGACTGCTGGTACGTCTACTCTGTACACCTTGAAAACCTGTTCATTTTCCCTGACGTTTTATTTTGTTAGCAAGACTGATGAATTACTACAAGTCCAATTAAATGCTTTGTTCGTAAAATTGATTGTGCCAGTTTTGGAGGCGGAAATATGCGCACATTTGAAATTTCACTCGTATGCTTGAAAAATGACAGGAACGACTATTTAACGGCTGCAGATGCCACATTTACAGATTGTTCATCGCCAAGTAACTAGTAACATGGTCGATAGTAGTTAAAGTGAGATGCAATCGCATTTGACATCATTCTTCTCTCCTATAGCTTATCGACCGGGTAGACTTTATCTGGTCTCCTGGAATCTGTGATGTAGGCTTGATTAACAACCCCGTGTATTTGAGTGACTAATTCATGCTATGTCGCATTCGGTGGCTGTGACTTCGATTCAATTGATGGTTGTTAGAGTTGTGGCTCCCTGTTTCTCCTAACACGGAATTAAGTGTTGTCTTGGATGCTATGACTAGTCATTGAGTAAAATTAACCATTTTTGAATTTAATCAAGGAGAGAGGGCCCTCTTTGAAGCGGCGGACGAACTTCTCGGGGTTAATTTCCCTGATCCCATGCTTCTTCATCATCAACAACAAAACCAGCCTGTCCAGATGACTCTAGTGGTCGACAACCTCGGCCGAGTAACCCAGCAACAAGTGATCCCCGTAAATGTCCAGGGCCAGCCCCAGTTCCCTGGTGCTGGCGGCGGGCAACAGGGTCAACCACCCTACCAGATGCACCTCGGCAAGTCCTTGAGGGCCGGAAGGTCGATTGTTATGACGGTGGTCCGTCCCAGCGGTATATCAGGACGTCCGGTGGCAGAATTCCTCCCCGGCGAACTGCGAAACAAGGACTACGTGAAGGGCTACATGGCTTCGGAGATTTACAAAAAGGCAGTCAAAGACACGCTCGGGCAAAAGTCAACGCCGCGAAAGTGAGTCTAAAAGATTTTCTGGTCATAGTTCGAGACGACCTCGATTTTATCCCAACCGCTAACTCTGCATTTAAATCTAGTGTTCATCATGACCTGTTAACCATCGTTAAAATTTACTATCCAAGAAACATTGAGTAAAAAAGTCAGGCTGTTTCCACCTTCAATTTCAACCTCTTAGACATTTCCTAAAGCTTGATCACGTTTTAATGTAGCAGTGACTGACTTCTTTCGTGGTATTATTTTGTGTCACATATTTTCTTTAATAGTACGTCATAATGACGAGTCCCAAATAGCAATGTTTGGTCTGTCATTCGTGTGTTGCTTTCCTCTTCATACCCTCAGTTTTTACTGTCTCGAATTTTCTATGACCCCTTTTTTCTCCCTTTTCACATTAGCACCCTCAAATCTCCAGTTCCAGGACCTGGGTCTTGTTTTGCTACATAATATCATGCATTTCCTTTGATAATGAGACAATTTAGGTCTCAAAATCTGCCTATTCTTGTAAACCCCCTTTCCAGGGGTCGATTGGGTTTATGCTGTGGTGACCGGCATGGTGGTGATTCCCCTCCGCGCCCATGTACTTTTGCCCAATGGCTTTCTTTTTCCCTTAGACGCAACGGACCGGGCCGTCCTCGCAAATCGGAACCAGCCCTCGCCACCAAAACCCCCGGCGCCCCCGGGCCCGCCATGGTGCCTCTGGGCGAACTCAACCCCAGCGACCTTGGCAGCATCAAAAAACCTCCGGTGCCGCCGTCACACTCGGCAGTCACCCCGAGGAATGCCCAGAACTTGAAAAAGGCTGCCACCGCTGGCATGATGCTTGATGATGGTAGCCTTGGAGGAAACACCGCAGGTCTACCTCCGCGACCCAAGAAAAGGAAACCCCTTGGCATGCATAGGCAAGTTTAAGGTCTTTGCTGTCTTATTCGCTTCTCATTTAGTAAAACATTTAAATTTAAGTAGTTATTTCCACATTAACTATCACCTCACGACTCTGCGTCAACTGTTGTTTGGTCTGTTGTGCGAATCGGTGTAAGTTGATAAAGTGGGCTGCCAGCTAAGAAAGTACTTGTTTGCGGCACAATGTCTGTAAAACATGTCACTTAAAGGCAACACATGTTTTATTAATACGAGCCATTCTTCTGCATTCATGGGTGGAATCTTTACTTCTTATATCTAGTTTGACAAAGCAAATGTTGACTGGCGGTTTTAGGATATTTTTCCTATATTTTTTCTTGTTTTTCTGGATCGAAAAACTTGAAAATTGTTCAAAGGAAGCAACTGTTAGCAAGTTTCCTTCATGAAATCGTATTTATGCTGCGTCTTGAGCAGTCCATGTGGTCAGAGACATGTCGGCCGGCAAACCGTCAATGTACGTGGAGGGCGATACGAGTCCAGGAAATTTCGTTGTAGATATGATCTTTGTAAATTAATGTCCGTTGACAATTGTCAGTAGGCTGTAACAGTGATCGAAGCAATTTTAAGGCCTTGTGAATGGTAAGCACGAGTCACCCAGACTCTTTACCACTGAACACCAACAATAAAATTCAGTTAAACTCAACACGAGGATGTCACTACTTTTGATCAGTCAGAATGTTCCCTTTCCCAGTACGATTGAGGCTTGCAATGAAAGGTGGACAATTCAGCGCAATCGACAGCGCTCTCTGGTTGTTAGATCTAGGTAAAAAAGTCCTGAAACCGAATGTGCATAGTAAAAGCTGGTCGTCTGTTAGAAAATCTCCTATCATAGTGGTTCATTACTGCCTTCCAAGTCCCTGTCAAGAGATCGCTTTGTGATAATTTTATTAGGTTTATGCTCTGAACCATAAATAGCGCATGTTCCTGACGTTGATCAATGGACAAGACCAGATGACAATACTTGACTAAACTCACCAACAAATCGAGGTAAGATGAGATAATCAACCCCTGTTTTTAATAGACATTTGGAAATCAACGTGGTGTTGTACACTTTCATCAACTCCAGAAGGCCTCAAGCGTATTATTCTGCTGAAATAGCTAAGTTCGTTTTTCATTGACAGCGATGCATTAAATCTGATGACGATTGTTTTACAACGAAAAGTAGGGTGTTGTACTTGCGTTGGTAGAGAGCTATCCAGCCTTACCTCATTTAAGGTCGCCGTGACTTTTGCCTTTGGGGGACCGATCTTGGTTAAACAAACTGCGCAATATTTTTGATTAGCTAGGTTGTAATTTTGAAGAGGGCTGCTTTTAGTTAAGAATTCATATTTTGGAGCCTTAATTAGTATTCTTCGGTAATGGTGCACTGCGAGTTGTAAGGAACCAGTGATGGGTATTTTATAGGTGTGCAAATGTAGCAATTGAAAAGAGCCTGTGAAATTGGGAATTTTGTAGCGAAAGGTCCTAACGTACGAGGGTTATTGATAACAAATGTGTGAAAATTCGGCCAACGTAAAATTGCTCTGATTTCGATACGTATTTGGATAATGAAACCAAACAAAACGCAGCAAAGTGGCATTTGTTTTTAGTGCTCGCGTACCCCTTCTCTATGCGTCCTGCACTTCGAAGGGGCGCATGTAAAACTGAAAATAATGACGTAAACGTATTCAGGAAATATGAATAGTGACTTTGTGCCATTCGTTAAAAAGGGCATAAAAATCCTGTTCTCGTAAATTTTGCCCATGTTGTCATTCTCGTCGTCATTTTTCCGATTTTTTAAGAATAAACGCTGCAAGATTCGGGTAATTTGCACAAAGGCTTGTTGGTTATTATGTTATTATCTTAAGCAGACAAATTGTTTCGCATTCCTTGAGGATTTCTGGGCATCACATTTAAAATCGCGTATTAATCTAACCATCCGATATTTCATCCCACGCTTTCGAAGTAGGCGAGATTTGGTATCGCTCTAGTGTTTGTGCAGTGTTGCTGCATATTTCACTGCCGTTACTTAAAACCACAGTTCTTCCTCATTTAGAAGCCTTCGCGACCTGTGTGCGGAGCCGACCTATGGCTTCACTCCAAGCTACCTGACTCCCTCCGGTGTCGTTGGCGGAATGCGAACTGATGCTGCGATGATTGACTACGATCCACTGCACTTCATTCGGTGTCACGCGAAGGACAACGACGCAGGCGACAGCGAGACCAAGGTCTGGCGTTGCCTCTTTGAGCCGAATCCACTCCGACCGGAGGAGACTACGCACGTGGTTGCTACTTGTGGTGGAGAGTGCGTTTGCCTCATAAACTGCGCTACCGGAAAGGTTATGAAAAGGTTTAAACACATGGAAGAGGTAAGTATCGATGCTGTTGTTGCTGTGATTGTTTCACATACTTGTGTGTGCAGTTTGTCTTTATTCAAACCTTAGATGTGACGTTTTAGAAATACCGCGATAGTAGAACAAAGGTCTCTTGAAAAGAGACAGAACGCGTGTAATGACCGGTTTTAGGCCATAGAGTAGTAGCAGAATCCGCAGAATAGGACTTTGACTGCAGTGAAGGTAGAGAGACCTATTTGGCTTGGCTGTAGCACAAGTTAATGTCTCACACATCCCATTTTTTAATGTTCGGCTGTCGGGTAACCACTTATTCTGCTACGTAGTTGGAGCAACGCGTTTGCTTAATGTTAAAGGGGTGTGTGTGTTTTCTAGGAGTTCTACACAATAGCTTGGACCACAGTGGAAGTTGAGGGCAGCAAACGTACCAACATCTTGGCTGCAGCGGGTCGGATGCGCGAAATCCGATTGCTGCACCCCGATCAACTGGTTTGCTATGCCGAGATGAAAGGCCACACTGAGGACATCACCGCCATGATCTTCCACCAGACACAACCCACCATCCTCTTCAGCGGTGACTCCAAAGTGAGTGAACAGAATTTGCTTTACTTTCAAAAGCTTTCAGTGTCGCATTGAATTTTTATAAGACCCACTTTGCATATGATGTTCATTAATGAAGACAAATCGTTGAATTCTGCTCGTGGCGTAGCATTTTTCATATTGTTTCTGCATAACCCTTCGTTTTAACTGTACTGGTTTCTTTGAAAACTGTAAATTTACTCACAGTGCGAGCTGTTTTGCCGAGAAAGTAAAGCGACGGGATCCTGTCATTCACATGCTTGTTGCAACATTCTTTGGAATAATGCGTGTGCGTTGTCGAACATTCCGGGTCGGCCATCATCTTATCTTGACACAAGGCTCACGCAGTTGATTTTGGGCTTGAGGGTTTCGTAGACAATTATTTTTTGCACGTTGTTCGATTTGCGTTTCGCCACATAAAACTGGCGCCGAGAGTCGTCCTGAATGGGCCAGTCCAAGGCCGTGCCAACTTGTCTATTCCACATATGGTTGAGTGAACAACATTCTCGCTAGAGGAACGAAGACAACGAATATTCATTTCCCTCCTTACGCCTAGCACTCAAGGGTGTAGCTTTGAAGGGTCCCACTTCTTAATTACGAAACTCCAGTACATCGTTTCACCTTAAATTGCATTTCGTCAGGGTTGTGTAATATGTGACCTCGTCTGCGTAATGCAATCACTGGACGCTGCTTTCTACCTCCATAAATCACGTGTCCCAACGATTTGCTTCATCTTTCAAGCACTGATTAGCATTAGCGGTGTGCTTTTTTCGCCCGTTCAGGCCTCCGTAATTGTGTGGGACATCGGAGTTCCATCGGTTCCCGACTATAAGACTCGCTATCAACTGCTCATGCGCCTCCGCTGTCCTCGCTTAGACGTCAACCCCGTACTGAACTTGGTCTTCCTGCCGCACTACGCCTATCTGATCGCCGGGTGTGAGGACGGCCTGTTCGCGTGGAAGATCACAGACCTTCGGCTGGAAAAACGCGAACGCGAGCCCGACATGGAACTCAAATTGGAGGTGGATCACGAGGTTTGCATCGATGGGTTAGCCCAATTGAGTGACAATTCTCTCGTCATCAAAGTTGTCGAGTCTGGAGAGATCATGGTTTTCGATTTCGCCGCTGTTCTCGAGCGACGCAAAGGTAATAACTAGTCATTCTCTTCATTTGCACACCGCCGATTTGGTCACCTTTACTTGTGTGCATAAACAAATATGTTTTAGTCTAGATTGCGGTAAAGACTTCAACCACACTGAAAGGGGATTTAGAGAGCCGATTTAAAAATCAGGTAAAGATTTTCGCTTTTCAAGTCGATAAATTCCATGATTTAGACATAAGCATAACACGATTTAGCAGAATATGCCTTTGCAAAATGCTAGCGTAGTTGTCTCCGTTCTTAACAAATGTCACTGACAGCCCCATTCACTGATGCCCCGCTTTCAACGTTAGTGGCTCTTCCCATGTTACGTCTTTACGTCTATGCCGCACACTTGGCTAGAGTGCTTTCGAGTCTCCGCAGATGCACTGTTATGTCAGTACCTCGTGGGCTCAGTATGGAGGATAACACTCGTCTATGACATAGGTTACCTTGTTCTTTAATGTGTGCCAGCACCATATATCTACTCGAGGTTTTCGTGTTTACTCAATTTGAATGCTTCAGGTGGTAGTGCTCGTACACTAGACTTGATGCTTTGTTAGATTGGATGTGT